TCGGTCAGCTGAGCACAACGGACAACATTCAAGGTGGCCACCCTTCCATGATACTGAGAGCCGTACCGGTGAAAACGGAGAAGTACAACGACGGCAGAACAGAGTCGTTTCCACCGCGGCAGTACAAGAGGTTAACTCGGGGCACCATCCCTGAGTTGGTAATATCAGTTTTAGATATAAAGCCTAATCCTGTGAATATAGGATACCTCAGCATAACGCTGCACATAAAATGACTAGCGCTCAAGGACCCGGAATGAAGTTGAAACAATGCATCAATGTGGGGATCTCCGACCTCGGGGACACACGCGGATTCGACGACCCCGGAGTAGATGGTAAATTGTACGCCTTGCAGCTTAAAAACAGCATTTACAAACGCGTTGAAGTCCCCTCCATCGGTAGAACCCTAGGTGACATAGTAGATACCTCAGGAGAGGCCCTCAGCACTCGGTTCGACCTAGTCCACATCGGTGATGATAGATGGGCGGTATACCAATCGTTCGGAGGCAAACTGTTCGACTTAGAAGATGTTGAGAGCACGACCGTCGCCCGAAACAAGCCATATACGCTCGTCTTCACCGACGACGACAAGTGGGTGTTGCTGCCCTCTCGAGTGGATTGGTTTCTCAACATTAGTCTCAGCTCCCCCTACGTGTTCACGGAGAACAAAGCCAACTACCTAAACAAAGTCGTGAACAACGGAACCCTGCTCGTGGCTTACATCCTGGCGCAGAGACGTAGTGTAATCATCTGCCCACTCTCGAGTATGGCAGCCCACATGCTGTTGAGCAAGCCCGGGGTGCAAAACGTGGCATTGCAGGTGGTGTCTGAATTCGAAGGTGTGGTCAACATCCTGGCGAGTCTACCGGCGAACTCCACGCTGGTCATCCAAGTCTACCTAGGGGAACCACAGCGTGAAGTTGAAGGGGATCAAACTCAGGTGGGGGAAACAACACCAGTATGACGTTTGCACTGTTTACGTGCGGGTGGGCGTCGACTCCCACACCAGTCTGCAGGGGGTCACCGTGACCATGGAAGACACGATATCACTCACCAAGATCTTCTTACCCGACAATATACACTTCATGGGGGTGAAGTGCACCCCTGAGAAGTTATCAGAAAAACAGTTGGAAACTATCTTATGATAGTAATATAACAATGACTAGTCATCGACCCAACGCCACGCTTAACGATCTAGGAGACACGGAGGGATTCGATCTGCCCGGCGAGGAAGATGCCTTGTACGTCCTACACTTGAAAGACAACATGTATCGGCGGGCGGCAATGGCGATCATCGACCCAACATCACACTCGGGGGCCTAGGAGACACATGGGGGTTCGATCTGCCCGGCGTACTTAAAAAACGGCGTGTACATACGGCGGCGTCTGGCAGACGACTTTATAGAGCCCAAATGGTTGATCAACATGACCCTCACCGCACCTTATATCTCGTAAGACAAAGATAGGTATGTCTCCGAAATTAGGAACAATGGGATCTTGCTCGGGGCTTTCATTCCGAATTATAAACTAAGTACTCAGCTAATGCCTGATCACACGGGTAACATGTTAGTTTCAGGCTGGGTGGTAGCATTAAGGTTTGACGACCCGATTCCCAATTTGACCTTATGACTGTGAAACCAGGCTCCGCATTCTCCATAGAAGTCCACCTCGGAACGATTTTGATAGTAATGGAACGGCAACTTTTACCCGGGTGACAATACATACGACTGGACCCTCAACGGGTTCTATAGTGCCCTCAGTAAGCCTTGATGATGTTACCTATTGGCCTCTCACCTATTTCCCCTGTACGATGATCTTATAAGCTTCAAATACACTGTGCAAAGATTAAATGCTATACATTTTAAAGATATTTTTAGAATATATTATATACACAGGATGGGGCTGTACCCAGTGGTAGAGGAAGAAGCGAAGACACTGGAAACCGTAGACGGATTCCGCTTTGAGACAGTTATGTGATGTAAAACGCCAACTAGAACAAGACCGGCGACACGCGGAAAGCACTATGTAAGAAGTACCATAGAGCTTTCAATATCGTGGACAGGGATGATACTGTCCTTACGACAACCAGCATGGGACAAGGGCGGCAGGTGTTGGGTTGTTGGCCACCATCGTGGCTGCACCTATAGTGCTAGGCATTGAAATAACAGCTGGGGTTGTAGGGTGGTAGGGTTGGTGTTTAAGTTTGCATCCCGCAGACTGCATCGTGAAAGCATTGAAACACGACGAGATCAGGGTTCTAGCCGAAGCAAAGCTGAACACGGTAAGTGAGCGTATTTCCACGGCACTCACTGACAGTAAGATCTCAGAGGAGGAATTTCGTTCAATCCTCTCTGAACTCGACAAGTACCATAAGATGAAACAAGAAATCCGGTCCAAGTCTCGTAAGTCTGCTATCAGCGAAGACGAGAAAAAAAAGTACATAGAACAGGGGGTACGAAAAGCCCAGCAAGTCTTCATTACGAACACCAAAGAGATCATAGGCGATTCACATTAAACTGTTTCATTGAGGTCAACACGACATAGGGCGATCACAATAGTGCCACGTGATCAGGAAAGTGTCGGTTCACGGTCATAGTGACCAGAAAGTTAACTGGGGGTGCAAAACTGGTATATACAATAGCGGGGAGAGATGAGGGCCTGACAGAAGCTTTATTTCGTGAATGAAGCTTTTCAGAGGCTTGATCTCGTACCGCTACTGTATATACTACTGTACTTGACAAAGATTACATTTGATCAGTGTATGGTACTTATATGGGATTATTGCATGCGTTGACTGTTCGGCTGCTGGATGTGCAGATACACTTTCGTGTCACCCACAGGATAGGTTTCTTTGTATAGTATCTATTGTCTATTTAATCATTATGCTATGTATTATTATAAGTCTTTTTACCAACACTCATTTTGCATATCACTGTAAACACGTGATCGCGTAAGTCATCGCGTAATACCTGTGTATGATCGTTGACAGGCACATTTATGCACTATATTTATTATGATGACATGTTCATCAGATGTGATTTTATGTTATGTATATCGTGTATATTATTGTTATTACAGGATGTCTTCTTCGACCACGATATGGAAATAAACAGATATGTCACTCATAACCCGTAGTCTGTGGTTAATAACATTGGAACTCCGCTATATCATGGCTGCCACAGGAACACAACTATTAGAGATACAAATGTATTTTTATATCTTGGAACTCGAAGACAAAAGAATGGCATAAAGCATTATTGTGCGGAAGAAAATCTATTGAAGTAGCGAATATGGTGTCGAGTAAAACATCAGACACGCTCATTTTAGCCGACTGCTGCAAATTGGCCTGTTAGAATTTTGTTTGAATGAATATGCTAGCCGTATATGATATTGCATCATGGACAAACTCACTGGTCTGTGATTATTTCTATAACTGACGGTGTAGCTGCGAATTGATGCGGCTTTAAGCACTGTTTTATCACTCACTGACGTCAATATATTTTAGAGCTTCCGGACACTTTCAAGTTTTCACTTTTACTGACATTCACATTCACAATTTCGTTTGTTAAATAAAATTTAACACGTTGAGAATGTTTAAGTACATAGGAAATTGTAACAAAGGGAGCGGGCTTATATACACTACCCTACACATCGTGTATGTAAATTACATAGCATTTTCAAGCTATGTCATAATTTTGGTAAATGCTACTTGGGAAATATAAAGCATGAAAAAGCATGACCACAGCACTACTAAGATGCGCATGCGCCTTGACCTTATGATATTACGCATGCGCAACGACAGTGTCTAAAGCGCGAGATCGCGAGAACACGAGAAATAAAATGTCGCATTCTCGTGTTCTCGCGATTTCGTGTTTTTGTGGCCTTTTTTGACAAGTCAAGATTGCGAGATTGCGAGATTTGACAGCATGTACAAATGTCGCATTCTCACGTTGTCGACTTTTGACAAAAAGTGCAATGTACCAAAAACACGAGAATGCGAGATTGCGAGAACGCGAGATTTTGGCCAAATCCTGCTTTCTCGCGATCTCGCATTATCGTACAGAACACTCCCTGTGGAGAATACAACCGGTCGCCTACAAGGCGCTCAGGCTTCAAATTCAGGCTACTATCTTATCATACCAGGTACCCAATTTACTGCTGGGTGGACAGAGCCAATTTTCACCAACTCACTTGCCTAGGGTGAGACCACACATATCACATGTGCTTCGTTGTGGGGCAGGACTGAAGTCCCAGAAACTCTCTAGCGCCTCTAGTCCGACTTAGGTCGTGTTGTTTGAGGATAACGTGACCGAATGGGCACTATTCGTAATGATTGTATCTTTACCAATCATGGTAAGACGTTCAGCTTTGCTATCAGCACACATGCCATACATACGTCTCAATTTCATTAATGACCCTTTGCAGATTTGGCAAAGAAAAGAAAACCTGGGAAGTAAGTATGAATTATTTACATGTACAATTCAAACTATTTCATGTTCTGATTAGGTGAAGGTTCGTGATTTTTTACTATTTTGTTCAGTATCATGTGTACTATTACATGCCAATTGAGGGTGAAGTAGGTTTTACTGCGTGTGAGAAACACATGAATCACATTCTGACCCGATAAAGGGAGGCAACTCGACATTAGCGAATTGCGTTGCTTTAGCCGTGCCCGACGTAGTGTTTAACAACGTAAAAGGTATGATAATAATGGTATGCTGTGTCGCTTATTTGTTGTTTTACGCCTCAAACCCTCTTTCAAGCAACATCATGACAAACCAACCCCACCCCACCCACCCCATTTATTATAAGTTATGTACCCAGTTGAATGAATTGGTCTCAAAATTCCGAACTGGTTATTGTACTAAGCTGCGCAATATCATACAGTTATTTTTATCATGCACATATAGTCTATCGTTCATAGTATACTTCATACACTATGGTATTGTTAACCGTTCATATAGAGTTCTTAAGATTATCAAACGTGTTTTGTTTCTTTTCAGTGCATTGTCACTGTAAATGGAAAAACGTGACACAAAGCGGACCTGTCTTCTTTCTGGTTGGTTCATCTTTGATATGGCCGTACTGGTTGGAGTACTCGTTATTGAAATTGGGAGCCAGAAACAGAGCGGAACAGGATCAGAATGGAAGTTATCACTGGATAAGGTATTTAGACATATTTACCATAAAACCAATTATCAGCTCCTGTATTGCACATAGATTAAAAGCTACTTTAGATGAACTTATTCACTGTAATCAAACTTGTTTTATACCAGGTAAGACTATTAGCGAAAATACAAGACTGCTATATGTCATTATGTTCGAAACAAAACTACAAAAACATTCCTGGTTTGTTGATCCTGATTCATTTTGAAAAAGCATTTGACACTGTTGTTTCTAAAGATTTTATCAACCTAGTTTTACATAAATTTGAATTTGGTCCTGAAGTGATAAGACGGATAAATATATTGACTTTGAAAAAACATCTTGTGTTATTCAGCATGGTAAACTCTCTCTGAATTTTTGCTAATTCTCCTCTAGACAGGGAGACCACACCTCCAACACAAACAATCGCTCACCGCTTACATCACTGCTCTTGCTCGCAAGTCCTCACTCCAAACCTGTCACACCTTAAATATAACATAAAACAGACATTACACTCATTTTGTGATCTTGACACATACTTATCGTCTGCTGTCTAGGTGTACCAAAACTTGGTGATGAATGGTGTTTCGACCACAGAGCATTGTGAGTGTATTTATATATCACGAGCACAAGCTTGACAATATTACCCGTTAATATCAAATAGTCCTTGGTCGAATTCGATACTTGTATTGATTTAACCAAGTATTACAAGAAATGTGTATTAAAAATATTTCGGAAAGCATACCTGCCAATTATCACGCATTTGGCTTTAAGACGCACGCTTTTCTTACTCATGTGACGCTTTCACAACAAAACAGATAAAATCTCACTCCAGACTGGGTTCATGTGAAAAAGTAAAATACATATCTGTTAAAAATAACACAAATAGGCCTGATTACATCGTTTTCTGTGAATTTTCTGAGAATGGTCAATTATGCGTTGGCTTGAGGTGAGCTTCAGGACCTGGTCGGAGTCCAAATCAAGCTTTATTTTATCTATTAGGCTTGGAAGCGCTGAGAAAGTACCAAATACCAACCATGCACGATAATTATTTTTATTATGTAATCAAGTTATATCCTGTTTTCCAAAGCAATCATAAAACGGACTTGGCATAGAATGAAACTATATTAAGCATGAAACTTAATGTCAGAATTTGTTCACTTGTGGGCTTATAACTTCTATTTTCACTATCTTATATTTTCATTACAACCGAATATACGAATGTACCATCTCTATCTGCTCATACTTAACAACATTAGTCACCTATACTCTATTCAATAGCAGAACAATCCTATCAAGCATATGATAATGATACTGGGAACGACCATCCAGATCAGCAGTTTCTCAATCTGGTTGAAACCAGTTGCACATTTCTCTGGCCTTGACTTTGACAGAGGAACCACAGGTATGTCATCATCTATTATACGTTGCATATAATTCAGTACATTAATTCAGTTAGTTATGTGCGTGTATGTTTAACCGACATAAGGAACAAATCAGAATATGTATATCCAACCTCAAAGTATAATTACGTATGCATTATCTAATACACAACTGTTTCAAACGCGATTTTGAACCAGGTCATGAAAAACAGTGAGTGCATGACTTTACTTTTACGTCGGTTTTAGCAATATTTCAGCATTATCACGGTTGGGGAGGTGGAATGGACAACGTTGAGGGACTGGGCCAACACAGATGGTTCTAATAGAAAGCTTCTGTTCTATGGAGTAACGAGAAAGGCTCCATCACAGTACCAGCAGCAGGAGTGTACCTGTTAGGATGTTTACAATGTTAAGCTCTTTGATGTCCGTGTATTTCAGAGCCAGCCGGTCTTCAAAGCAATGAGGAATGAAACTTGACAAGTATGGTTAACACATTTTCGGAAACACAAACAGAATCACCAAAAATGGTACCATTAAGATACCCCAAAGTCAGTATCGTGTGGTATTCTCTATGGGCATCGATCAAATCGTTGCATCGTCTGTACATGGAATGAATTAGCCGGTTGATGAAGGTCATACGCACTTGTGTCCATACCTGCAAAATGCCTGATCGAGTCCAGCCGTAGTTGTCGGCCTTTGGTTGAGGCCATTCAGTCTTCTTTGAATCTCGTCCCAAAGATGTTCTACTGTACTTTAAAATTCGGACTGAGTGCAAGATTTTGTAGGGTTTGGGCTTCATGCTATCTTAGGAAGTCTAATGTTGCTCTGGCAGTGTGGGCACGAGCGTTGTTTTGCTGGAAGATGTGATTTCTGTAATGGCCCAAATGTGGTACAACGTGGAGGGTCTTATGACTTGGTCAATGTAGCGAGCAGCCGTCATGTCATTCTGGACCAAGATTCTGGAACACCACGGTGTCAACTAACTGGTTCAGACCGATTGCACCCCCATACTATGATGCTTGGACCACGCCACGAGTCTCTTTGAACAATACACTCATTGGAAAACATTCCACCACACTCCTCGCCATACTCTCACTCTGCCATCGACTGTCGAAACACAATATCGGCTTTCATGAGATAACAGCACAGTTCTCCATTGTCGATAACGCCAATTTCGATGCTGTGTTGCCCATTTTGGTCCGTTTGGGCGGCGATGAGCGGTGAGGACAGGACTACGATATGATGTGTGATAGTTTCTTCCGCGCAAACGCCCACACACCGTATCGGCACTGATGGGTCTGTTGTGAGTCCCAATGGTCTGCCGTGCCGTTTCCCTCGCTTTGGGAAGCGATCCTGCAGATGGTCGCGCACAATCTGTCGGTCTTGACGTTGTGGATGTTACTGAAGGTTGCTTCCACTGCGTGGACGGTATTGAATGCTGTTAGTGACCTGATACCACTCCTGCTGTCCTAACATGAACATTAAAATAATTGGCTACCCTCCGTGCAGTCTTGACAACTTGCAACGACTTGGTTCCTCTGATCTTCGTGGCATGGTAGTTGTGTCAAAACAAAATGATTTCAGGCGAGTTTGGGACCCACTTTCATTGGTAGGCTTGTCACGACATGCACGTGCATTTTCATTTTCACGAATGTCATTCAGAACCTTTTACCATGTCTGCCTTTTCGGTGCGTTTGGTCGATATGCTTTTCATCAGAAAACACACTGATGTTGGTAATAACTGTCAATTTGGATTGAAAAACAGCTTCAGAAAACGGCAATAATCATAATAAAACACACCACCCTTGCAAGAACAAAATTTTGCATGTGGTTTTGAAAAGCGACGTTTCTTTGTGGTTCAGTATATTTACATATATGTTCACAAATTTAGAACATGTATAATTTTACATATTCCAGGTAAGAATATGACCATACTTCGAAACTGGGCCAACCCTGATGGTTCTGACAGAAAGCTCCTGTACAATGGAATGAGTTACGAGAACGGCTCCATCACAGTACCAGCAGCAGGAGTGTACCACATCACAAGTCACGTCAAGTTCTACATCGAGGACAACAGGAAGGATGACAAGCCACTCCAAACATTCCAGCACCAGGTTGTCCGCTATAGCGCCTCCAGCCAGACACAGGTCGTGTTGTTTGAGAATGCCGTGACTGGAGTGTAAAGAGGGTATCAACGACGGAGCTCAACTGGAGTACCCGAGTGATGCTGGTGGACTGGCTCAGTTGGATGCTGGAGATCAGGTGATGGTGAAAGTATCACACTTACAGACGCTGAAGCATGATCGTGACTGGCACTATTTTAATGTGAATATATTATAGATCATTATATACCTCCCAAAAAGAAACGCATATAGGAATTTCAACTGCATTTTTATGTTTATTTTGAAACATCTTGTAGGCTTTATGAGTCAATGAAATATAGCGAAATTGCACACTTGAGAATGCAGACTTATCCGTCTTTGGCACCAACTCGAGGAAAGTCAGTTTGAGTGTCACATGGAGACGTGTGGTGGCGCTGAAGTCAATACCTCGTGTGACCACCGTGGGCATCCAGAACTGCACGGAATCGCCTCGGCATCGAACGAATAAGTCTCAGAATCTCGTGTTGCCCAATCGCAGCCCACTCTGCCTGTAGTGCCTGTGCGAGTTGCTGAAGTGTCTGGGGCTGAGGGTTACGGCGTCGCACCCGTCTGTCCAGGGCATCCCACAGATGTTCGATCGGGTTTAAGTCCGGTGATCTTGAGGGCCAGGGGAGCACATTGATGTTGTGGTTCTGGAGGAAGACCCGGGTTCTCTAGTGTGACATTGCTGTGTGTCCCCGGGCCTGGCATTGTTCTGTTGAAACAACTCCTGTTGAAACCTCTGGCGATCAATGATTGGAAGGAGGTGTGGGCGTAGGATTTCGTCACAGTACCGTTGAGCTGTCAGGTTGCCCTGGATCATCACTCAAATCACTTCTCCTACGGCAGGTGATCGCTCCCCACATCATAACACTGCCCCGGCCGAATCTGTCCACCTGGGGAACGCAAGCGTCGGCGAAACGTTCACGTCGACGTCTGTACACCCGCATTCTTCCATCGCGTCGTTCCAATAGAAATCGTGATTCATCACTGAACCCTGATTCTACGCCAATTCGGTAGGTTCCAGGCCTGAACGTTGGTGCACCATTGAACTCGATGTCGACGATGTTGTTGTCGAAGCACAGGGCCAAAATAAGGTCTTCTGGCACGTAAACCAGCCTCTCTCAACCTGTTCCTGACGGTCTGTGCAGAAAGCCTCCTCAATCAGGGGGTATTTGTCGAGCGGTACTGGTCGCCGTAGCTGTTCGATGACGCAGGTGATGTACCCGGATGTAAGCGATCTTGCTCGAGGTCGCCCACTACGAGGGCATCTGCTACCGCTTTCTGCCGGCGATATCTCTCCCAGAGCCGTGAAATGGTGCTTTGGTGAAGATTCATGCGTCGGGCAACTGCACGTTGAGACTGGCCAGCTTCAAGCAAAACCAATAGCGATATGGCGGTTTTCTTCACTTAGACGTGTGCATATTGCGTTTGTCAACAATATTCCAAATACAGTGAATAATCGACAGACAGCGATCAACCTTTTATACCCATCTTTGTGTGACTATCTGATCCCCAACTTCACGTGCATTGCATGTGAATTGTATATTCTGTGACACTACACGCCGAAATTGAAAATCATGCTGTTCAATACGGGTATTTTACGGATGGTGCGTTTTGTTGTGATGTTTCAAAACATAAACAATTCATAGGACTCATAAACAGAGCAAAACCTTTTGTAAAATGAATCAATGCTACATGAAATTGCTATTTTCATGATGCCTTTCTTTTTGGGACAGTGTGTGAATCTCTCACCGTCAATCGCATTATTCTTATTATAAACTTCATAAAGGCAGCAAAATCCTTTAGCTACGTAATTCTTTATACTTTCAATATGACGATATATATTTTCGATTTTTTTTAAACAATGACATAACGCCATAAACGATTTTAATCAAACTCGCGCTCATTTACGCGCGTTCTGATTGGTTTGTCGTAGTTTCGCACATAACAAGTATCGAGTGGGGACGAGTCTTCTTGGAGGTTACGGAAAGGGGCGAGTGTGACGAATGTCAAGAGTGGTGTTAAGGTGTTGTATAACATCAAAACAATGAATTACTGTTTTACGTGCTTCATGGTTCAAGTGTGTAGATTAAAAGGCAGAACAGATGGTTAGTACCTGAAGCTAGCATGTGTTAACAAAATGTCTTGTGCCTTGTACCCGTGAAGGTCCGGGTTAGAATGTGTCTTCAGTAGCACATGCTTGTCGTAAGAGGCGACTAACGGGATCGGTCAGGCTCGCTGACTTGGTTGACACATGTCATCGGTTCCCCATTGCGAAGATCGATGCTCATGCTGTTGATCACTGGATTGTCTGGTCCAGACTCGATTATTAACAGTCCGCCGCCATATAGGTGGAATATTGCTGAGTGCGACGTAAAACTAAACTTACTCACTCTTGTGCCTTAAGATCCGAGTTAAAATTAGTCTGCAGCAACCCATACTTGTCCTAAGAAACGACTGACGGAATCGGATGGTCAGGATCACTGTCTTGGTTGGCACGTCATTGTATCCAAACTACGTAGATCGATGTTCATGATGTTAATCACCGGAATATCTGGTCCATACACGATTATTTACAGACCGCCGCCATATCGTTGATATTGCCGATTGGGGCGTTAAACAACAACCAACCAACTAGCCGTGTACCTTACTGACTGTGTGTCATTGTGACCCTGAAGGTGTGGATGGATGCTCACGACGTCGACATAATCTGTTTACTTTAGGTTTTTTTACTGACACACGCATTCCCTCAATACATGTACACGTTGGGAATTTACTATCGGATTGCAAACAATAACTTCCAGTGGTTGACTACATACATTTTACTACTAAGAAACATTACAGCCGAACATATCTATATGTATAAACATAACTCTTCCAAAATACATACAATACCTGATGAGAAATCCTTTCAGTGGTTAATGCACTATTTCAAACAACACTTTCAAAGATGAATAATGCATTTCTCTCAATAATACTGACTATCAGCCCCCTCAGGGAAGATACCATATAATATATATTCCCAAAAGAATTACGTATTCATGTTACAATATTAAATTAAAAAGTTCGAATGAATTAATGCAACGTCGCATTAAATCGACTCTCGTGACCTCAACCGGCCGAACTTTATTTCAAGCGAACCCCATAGAGATGTCCCTTGGAGAGCTCTTTACGAATATCCTACGCACAACTTCATTCGTGACCAACTCTTGTTATTCCGGGACAAGCCGAATAGCAACTTGGAGGTTACGGAAAGGGGCGAGTGGTGACGAATGCGACACCTCCGCGTGCGACAGTTTTCGATGTATGGAGCAATTGTTTCCATTCCATATATGGCAAGTGATCCCTGTTTGGAAGCTGTTCGAACCGAAGTTTCAGTTATCGATTTCAGGCAAGTCGTGATGCTGATACTAAAACCTATTTATAAGGAAGTAACGTCTTATGTTATATACATTCACTTTGTAGGTTGGGATAGAAACGATAGACCCATATCTTCGTGTGATTAAGGAGACGATCATCCACGGTGTCGCTACTTCCAGTTTTTCCTAAAACCAAAAAGAACAACAGGTATAACATACAAGATAGATCTTGAAATAGGAATTCGCGTTCAACATTTTATCCTCTAAACAGTCACTGAAATTCTGGACGTTCTCTTGCACTAATGTTGATAAATACTCTGTACGCATTGGTGAATGTTTGCGAACATGTGCAAAACATTTCATCTCCTCGCTGACTTTCGGTGACCCATTCATTTGACTTTCACAGCTATATATTTTGCCCTTTGCACTAATGACTACTTTTTAGGAAACTTAAGACTGGATATTCTTTTGCACGGACGTTTAATATTTACATGTATGAATAACTATCGTGTCGTTGTGATATCATGTGGATTTGTTTTTTAAGAAAACGGTTGTATATATGTTGTACCGGTGGGAAGATAGTTGTAAGACACTGCCCAATAACATGACGACGGTAGTTCTTGAATACACAGAGTAGCATATACTTACATCTTGCATATGGAATACTTCATCGGCAGTCTGGGGTCGCTCAAACCGGTTAGGAAGAGGTGACACTGAAAACATCCCACAGAATTGTACACGATAATGACTAAAATTAAACCATACATTGCCCCATGGCTTGCATACACAGGTCACACACCTACTCTCGTTTACAATGCCTTTACACTGTTCATTAACGCGGTGCTGTTCCAGCTAAATGACGGCGGTCTGTAAATCCAGTGCTTGACATCATCAACGTTTATACAGAATGAGATATGATGATGTGATTCAATAGGCTGACCAATCTTTAGTTGCTTAGCTACTAACATGTTGCTTGAGATCACCTGCCGACCAGATCCTCAGCAACGTCATGGTATGTCAGAGCGTAATCGTGAACGACTACGTCTTGGCAACATATATTTAGTGTTCCCAGGAAATCCATTTTTAATATATGTACATTAACATGCTCATGTTGACAAGTTATGAAACAACATTTTCACACATTGAAATTTTGAATGGATTCACTAATTCACACAGGACATATATTTCTTAAGTGTTCGTTTTTCTCTCAATATATTCAAATTACGTCCTTTTCAAACGACCTCTGTATGTGCGCGAAAATGTGAAAAATGTTTCAACCTTTGTTGAGAACGTATACTTACCACTTTTCCTGATTAACCTGAAAATAAGAAAAACAACCCGTTAAGTATACCCATGTTTTTTCAAATGCATATATAGATAAATGCCTCTCAAAGAAGTTGTATTTTATACTATCATCCCAATAGCTGACAAGAACAACACGTAATGGCTCTATAATCATCGCCACTTTAGTAAACGTATATTCTATTTCTGTTATAACTAAATGAAAACCCGGTTTAAAATATGATCCACCGGATGCTCTTACAAAAAGCATCATATGGTTGTAGTGTATATATGACAATACAGGAACATGCAGTTGTAGTGTAAATATGACAATACAGGAACATATGGTTGTAGAGAAAATATCACAATACAGGATCATAGGGTTGTAGTGTAAATATGAGAATACATACATACAAACATTTGTAAAGCGCTAGTATCCAGCGTAAGCTGCTCCAAAGCGCTAGTGTCTGAGGTAATTGAAAGGGTCACTGAAATGCCATATTGAAGAAGAAAGTTTTGAGCTTAGATTTGAACGTGGAAAATGTTTGCTCGGTTCCTATGTCAAGCGGGAGACTGTTCCAGAGAAGGGTCCTGCACGTTCAAAAGAGCGGTCGCCAAACGTTTTTGTACGGGAGGAGGGTACAGTTAGGAGAGACTTGTCACATGAGCGCAGTGTCCTCGGTGGGTGGTATCTGTTGAGCAGACTGCTGAGGTAATCTGGTGCTTTGCTATGGAGGGATAGGAACACCAGTACAAGTATCTTGTACTGTATCCGGTAGCGCACTGGCAGCCAGTGTAGGTCCTGCAGGACCGGTTGTATGTGGTCGAATTTCCTCTTCGTGCGGACAACTCTTGCTGCGGTGTTCTGCACTTGTTGCAGTTTCTTGATCAGGTGGTTGGGAAGCCCAAAGAGGAGGGAGTTGCAGTAGTCCAGGCGGGATGTTACGTGAGCCTGGACAAGTGAGATGGTTGAATGCTGGTCGAGGTACTGCCTTATTAGCCCAATATTTCTGATGTGGAAATAGGCTCGCCTGCAGATGGTATTAACATGAGACTCAAGACTGAGGCTGCTGTCAAATGTCAGCCCAAGTTGCGAGCTTCTTTGTTGATAGGAATTTCACAGTCTCCAATGTGAAAAGATGGAAGATGGTACCGTAGATGTAGATGTTTTCGGCTGATGATCATCAGTTCAGTCTTATCCTCATTTAGTTTGAGGAAATGCGATGTCATCCATGCCTTGATGTGTTCAACACAGGCTTGGAGTTGTTGAAAAGCATTTATTACTGAAGGCTGTTCCATAGGCTTGAAGGTGAGATAGAGTTGCGTGTCGTCCGCGTATAGGTGGAAACTAAGCTTGTACTGTCTCGCTATGTCACCGAGTGGGGAGGTGTATACTGTGAACAATATAGGGCCCAGGACTGATCCTTGTGGGACGCCATAAACTAGCTCCTTCTTGTCCGACATGTGCCCATCAATGCAGACTGATTGGTATCTTTCTGACATGTAAGACGCAATCCATTCCAAAGCCTTGCCAGTTACTCCTTGCCTGTCCTGTAGTGTCTTCAACAGAATGCAGTGGTCTATTGTGTCAAAGGCAGCGGAGAGATCAACAACACAATAATTGCTGCTCCCTCCGTGTCCACCGCTCTCAGTAGATCATTCTGGACCTTGAGGAGTACAGTCTCAGTGCTGTGACCTGTGCGGTATGCTGATTGTAGCGTTTCGTGCAAGTAGTTAGATGTCATGTGGTGTTTCAAACGTGATGCAACCACCCGCTCGGTTAGTTTTGATAAGTAGGAAAGATTGGAAACTGGGCGATAGTTTTCAACACTTCGCTGTCGAGATTTGGTTTCTTGAAGAGCGGTTTTATCATTGCTTCCTTCATTTCAGGAGGAACTTCTGGTTTTGAGAGAGACAGATTGATGGTGTGAGTGATAAGTGGGAGGGCTGAATCTAGTGACTTCTTCAGCAACCATGTTGGCATGGGGTCGAGCAGACTTGACTTATCCGGACTTTCAAGATCAGGGATCTCACTTCAGCCTGAGTGGTGGCCTGAAACACTGCCAGAGAGACTTCACAGCTCTGGGTTTCATCAGCATAAACATAGTCGCAATGTGCGAGTCCAGATCTGATTTTGGTGATCTTCTCTGAGAAGAACTCTGAGAAGCGATCTGAAACTTCTTTTGGAGCCTGACAAGTGGGAAGAGATACTTGCTTCTGTTTGTGTAAGAGTCTGTTTGATATGCTGAAGACATCTTTTTGCCCCTTTGCTTCCTGTAGAGCCTGATTGAAGAACTTGGATTTCGTAGCTTCCATCAACGCGTTGACACAGTTCCTCTGGGCATCATGAAGCTCCCGGTGAACGGTGAGCTGGGTTGTTCTGAACTGCTTTTCCAGTTTGCGACGTTTCCTCTTTTCTTGCCTGATGTGCATATCATACCAGGGAGCATTTGTATGAGTTGTTGAAGTGCATGTTCTCATAGGTGCATGCTCGTCAATGGCTGATCTTGAAGCCGTGTTGTACAACTTCAGACACTGAGATACAGACAGATCCTGGTAGCCTGGCAGTTTTGTAGAAAGATCTTGCTTGAAGTTATCAATGTCAATTTCTTTCCATTTCCTGAAGGATACTTCTTTCCTCTCCCGTGCAGGTACTTTGATGCTTGTTTTGAATAGGACTGCAGCATGGTCGGACTTTATGGACAAATCAAGTGAAATGTCCTTAACAGCTATGTCATCTTGGCGAGTGATAATCAGGTCTAAAAGATGTCCCTTTGATGTGGGTTGATTCACATACATGCTGGACTAGTCCATGAGTATCAATTAAGCTCATGAATTTCTGTGCATCCTTATTCTGCCTGTCGTCAATGTGATAGTTAAAGTCACCTAGTATCAGGGAGACGTCCCGGGGTTGTAGTTAGGGGAGTCCAATAGTGTGCCAAAATCGTCAAAGAAATCTCTCGATGTCTTTGGAGGTCTGTATATGAGCAATATGTTCATATGCTGTCCTTGTGCAGAGATCATTACAAGAAGGTGTGTTCGAATGTCGCCTGTAAAGACACAGTGTTCAGATGAGAGCACTGAAGCCTGTCATTGTATATGACAGCTAAACCCCCGCCTTCTTTCCCCTTCTTGCGACTTGAGTGAGTTTGTAGCCAGGTGGAGTCATTTTAGCCATTGATATGTGGTCGGATTCGCCGGTCCGTAGCCAAGTTTCTGTTTTGTGAGAATGTCCAGTTTGTTCTCTGTGATAAGATCATATAGGGATTGAGCCCTATCACATAATGTATCATGGAGCTCACAGATCTAGCATTGATTAGGCCAATCTTCATGTCATGAACCTTGTAAGTTAAAAAACGTAGGGATTTATAAGCATCAGGTGTGTACTTTTTAGTGTTTGTATGCGGGTTGCGCCGGCATCCCCGTCTAGTCCTTTTCACTCCACATATGCCAAGACGGCGAAGGTCATGCAGTGTAGATAATGGAATTCTGTTTGACTGCCGATGGTTGTTGGCTTTCAGAAAATCTGGAGATAGGGTGAGCAAGTTGATAATCAAATGCCACAATAGGAACAAGCCCTTCCATACATGAACATAGGGTTGTAGTGTAAATATGACAATACAGGAACATATGGTTGTAGTGTAAATATGACAATACAGGAACATATGGTTTGTAGTGTAAATATGACAATACAGGGAACATATGGTTGTAGTGTAAATATGACAATACAGGAAACATATGGTTGTAGTGTAAATATGACAATACAGGAACATATGGTTGTAGTGTAAATATGACAATACAGGAACATATGGTTGTAGTGTAAATATGACAATACAGGAACATATGGTTGTAGTGTAAATATGACAATACAGGAACATATGGTTGTAGTGTAAATATGACAATACAGGAACATATGGTTGTAGTGTAAATATGACAATACAGGAACATATGGTTGTAGTGTAAATATGACAATACGGGACCATATGGTTGTAGTGTATAAATATGACAATACAGGAACATATGGTTGTAGTGTAAATATGACAATACAGGAACATATGGTTGTAGTGTAAATACATGACAATGGTTGGGTAAAACATATGGTTGTAGTGTAAATATGACAATACATGAACATATGGTTGTAGTGTAAATATGACAATACAGGAACATATGGTTGTAGTGTAAATATGACAATACAGGAACATATGGTTGTAGTGTAAATATGACAATACGGGAACATATGGTTGTAGTGTAAATATGACAATACAGGATCATATGGTTGTATTGTAAATATGACAATACAGGATCATAGGGTTGTAGTGTAAATATGACAATACAGGAACATATGGTTGTAGTGTAAATATGACAATACGGGAACATATGGTTTGTAGTGTAAATATGACAATACGGGAACATATGGTTGTAGTGTAAAATATGACAATACAGGAACATATGGTTGTAGTGTAAATATGACAATACAGGAACATATGGTTGTAGTGTAAATATGACAATACGGGATCATATGGTTGTAGTGTAAATATGACAATACAGGAACATATGGTTGTAGTGTAAATATGACAATACAGGACCATATGGTTGTATTGTAAATATGACAATACAGGATCATAGGGTTGTAGTGTAAATATGACAATACAGGAACATATGGTTGTAGTGTAAATATGACAATACATGCTACATATGGTTGTAGTGTAAATATGACAATACAGGATCATAGGGTTGTAGTGTAAATATGACAATACAAGATCATTTCTTACTGGTGTAAATATGACAATACAGGAACATGGTTTTAGTGTAAATATGACAATACAGGATCATATGGTTGTAGTGTAAATATGACAATACAGGATCATGGGGTTGTAGTGTAAATGTGATAATACAGGAACATATGGTTGTAGTGTAAATATGATAATACAGCTACATATGGTTGTAGTGTAAATATGACAATACAGGAACATAGGGTCGTAGTGTAAATATGACAATACAAGATCATTTCTTACTGGTGTAAATATGATAATACAGGAACATATGGTTGTAATGTAAATATGATAATACAGGAACATATGATACTGGTGTAAATATGACAATACAGGAACATTATTGTGGTATTAGTGTAAATATGAATGACTTTTACACCACTTTTAGAAATCTTCCAGCAATATTATAGCGAGGATAGATATCAATCAATGTGACGGTTTACATATAATTGGTGTTAATGTGATGCTTACTTCTTGATTATCTTCATTGCAAACAACACACCCAGTGACATCAATGCTGCACTAGCGACCATCAGCGCTCCTCGCAGTGCCCATTTCTCTGTGCGATTGTCTTCCGTCGCAGTAGCTGTAACTAGACGGAAACAAGTCTGCATTAACATTGATGCCACTAGTTAATCTGTGTAGTGTAATGTGAGTTTTCATATTTAGGTAGCTCACTGAATGTTAATTTGATCGATGTGCGTTGAATGCCCATGTATAAAGAACTGTATTAAAATATTGAAAATATTTGATTGTCCAGCCTCGGATTTCATTTAAACGTGCTTCCAAAATATTGTTTCAATCATTTGATAAGATTAACAACTTAAGAAATTGCTGAAGTGGGAAATTGAAAACGTCACATTTTAAATATTGTAATAAAACAATTTCATTTGTGAATTCCATGGACACTTTGATAACAAGATAAGGATCATAATGAGTGCAAACATGGATTCGAAGCTAGATTAAAAGAATCTGGCATTACTATTGCACCACAACCTTGGTAACCGACACCCAGGGTTAGAATAATATGTGCACCCATATAGAACAACATTAAAACACTGATGATATACATGCTGCAACCACAGGCACTCGTGTCTTGCGAGGATTAAATATTTTTTAAAAATATGACCCCGACTCGAAATGCTTCACCGTACAATAAATCATGATTTATTTTACTGTGAAGCATTTAGAGTCGGGGGGTCATCTCAATTTATTTATTGAATTAAATGTTTCCACCATACCTATATTAAAAACCCGGATAGGGAAAGTTTTGCAAGACTTATGTCATGTAAGGATGAAAATGTTTTGACAAGTATTGCTAAGTTTCTGATGAAGGCTCGTAAAATTAGAAATGCATAAATTTCAGTCAATATTCTACACATTAAGATCTATATGTTATTTCTTATATATGTTATGCCTATACACTGTGCAAAAATGTCAGACACTTTATAAAGCAAAATACAACATACTGTCACTTTATGACACTTGTGCAAATTGAAAGATATATTTCCTTAGATATTTTCTACAGTATTATAAACATGTTTTAAGCTAGTCCAGATATAATAGCTTCCAGCCTCCAACTGTAACAGGGAGGCATAATACACTGTACTGTAATAGACTCTGTTTATATTGCTATACCAGTAGTTGAAGAGGAATACCATTTAAATTGTCAATGTTTAAAAAAATGCATAAGATAGAATGTTTTCCACCTTACCTATATATTGGTAACCAGTGTAAAGATAGTCTTGTTAGACTTGTGTCATCTAAGGATGATGTTTAGATAAGTATTGCTACTTTTTCTTTAGAAGGGTATAATATGCCTGTGCATTGTGCAAAAATGTTTCCATAGCTTTCAGAGGCAATAATGTATGACTATTACTGGTTTTACCAGCATCAAACCAAATGTAAAATTATTCTGTAATGTGGGCCATGGCCTTGCATACTGAAATAAAACTGTCTGTCTGTCTGTCAATTTATTTATTTTTTTAAATCTTTAATCCTCGCAGAGACAAGAGGGTCTGTGTCTGTGACAGCATGTGTCAGTACAAACTGTATAACTTCAGCACTACTACTACTTGCTTACACCTATATATACTTAGACTTACCACCAGTATCTTCGGGATCATCTTCGTTAGTGAGGGATACGGTGACCGTTCCTGTGATGGTTCTGATGTCATCACCGAGATCTGAAGCTCCGATGACGACGATGTAGTGGTCAACTCCCCCAGACAATTTGTCTGCATCCAACGTTGACGACACTACCAGCGTACCCACACCATCGGATGTAATCATAGTGAATTCAGAAGAAAACTCTCGGCCATCACCTTAAAAATAATTTAATGGTTGACACGCTAAACAATTTGTTCCCATCTCAGCACACAGTAAAACACCCCAAAGCGTGAATAAATCATTAGGTATCAATTCGTCCCAAAATTGTCCAAACAGACCTCGAACTTCAAATGAATTATGCAGCTGATTTGCAGACAATCGTATTTATTACACAACCCTGTGATACATGTGCAACATAATTACTGGCTATTGTTTACTGTCGAACCTGGACTAGACAAACCAGTGATGGATAGTAAGAGCGTTCACACGCAATCAATCAAGCTACCGTCTCTTATCTATTTAGTCGCCCTTTGGTTCTTCGTGATAGAGTACCCGTGAAGGTCCGGGTTAGAGTATTGATCTTCAGTAACCCATGCCTGTCGTAAGAGGGGACTAACGGGATCGGGTGGTCAGGCTCGCTGACTTGGTTGACACATGTCATCGGTTCCCAATTGCGCAAGTCGATGCTCATGCTGTTGATCACTGGATTGTCTGGTCCAGAATCGATTATTTACAGTCCGCCGCCATACAGCTGGAATATTGCTGAGTGCGGTGCGGCGTAAAATTAAACTCACTCACTCGCTAATAATGTGCAGCATACACAATATATGTTTTTTTCGTCAGACGAGATGTCGGTCATGTGATCGACAAAAAGCCCTTCAGTTAAGAAATACACACTTTGTGGTCGTTTCTAAGCGTACAACGTAGCACTACAAGAAAAATGAACCACAATTCGTTTATTTCTTGTATGAAATTTCTCTTTACAGCTTCTTTAAGGATTTACAAAACTATATTTACCCTTATTTGAATAATGATGACTCTCACCTGATGTTGAACAAGTCCATATTATGAACAGGTGGATTACAGGTAAAAGATATACATGTCATGGCCCAAATGGATACTTATCGCCCATTAAGTGTACATTTTCTCCCATCACAGACTGCCACATCCATCAACTCACTCATCCACTCACTATGACGACGACGACGATGATAATAACGGCAATGAGTTACAACATAAAGTTAACTTCACAATGAATACAGCACACGAATACCTACCGGGAAAATGTCACAAGTGAGATATTAGTTATAATTTTAGTTTTGGGCTGAGGCACTTACTTCCAGTGATTGACTGCACCTGGTAATCCAAACGACCTGCAAGCCCTTCATCGGCGTCTGTAGCGGTATAGTTGGCGATGCCGCTCCCTACAGGCAACGTCTCCGGCACGGTAATGGCAGGAAAGACATCTCCAGACTCAAAAGTCGGACTCTCCCATTCTGGGGTAAATTCATTTTTCGATGTGACCTGTAAATGGCACATTAATTGTACTCTCCTTCAAGAGAAGACCTCATAATCTTTCACATAACTGTTATTGATCTGCCCAACCATAGGCAGTAATGAATGAATCAGATGGGCCTTACATTCCTTTGAGTGGTATACACATCCGTGTCAGTCTCACATACTGATAAAGAAGATTATCTGGAGAAACATTTATGTTGCTTTATTGAGTAAAACTTGTCAAGGATTTTAGAAAAATAGAAAACCTAGTATTCATAATATTGTTTGCTTAAAACTGATGTAGTAATTATTCATATGACAGCAATCAGCTAAATTTCCATATAAACCTTAAACATCACAAAATAACGGTTTTCATTGTCATCGGGGCGGTGGGGTAGCCTAGTGGTTAAAGGGTTCATTCGTCACGCCGATGACCCGGGTTCGATTCTCCACATGGGTACAATGTGTGAAGCTCATTTTTGGTGTCCCCTGAGGTGCTGTTGCTGGAATAGTGCTGAAGGAGGAACTAAACTAAACTAAACTCACTCAGTGTCATTATCACATCATCCTCTTTCCGCCTTCGTTTTGCCTATTATTAAGTCCTTATTCACTTTTCAGTACTATTTACACCCGAGGTTTTATTTGGATATTGTCATTACCTATCAGAGCCAAACAACCTGCTTCCATTGTTAGGTGACCACTTTTGTTATCTTATCAATTTTGTTGTTTTCATCTGTCATATAAAGCTATCTGCTTCCCAGTTTTCATTCACCTGGTGGAGTAAGAATATAATCCGAAACGTCCACCTTTTCAAATCAAACAAGTTGACATCCATATATTTCCCCTTTATGTGTATCCCTCCTAAATGCCATTTAAAGACTTAATTGTTCAAAGTAATCACAGAATCTAAGCCTTCACCTTTGTACGTTGTGTACGCATGTGATAGCGTACTGTTACATATAAATACAATATAAATTGAACACACAATCAGTAGGGATATGTTTCCTGAACTACCTGGACAGAGGAGAACTACCTACTGTGACAGTAACTATAGTAATCCCCGTCAATGGTTGCCCCTCCGTTGGCTTGTCGATGGCGGTGACAGTCAGTGTGTACTTGAAGTTGATGTCGACCATGTCCTCGTAGTTGACGTTGGATGAATCGACGTAAAGGGTTGTACCGGTAATGCTGAATTTCGGGTCGGTATCGTCGCCGGCAGAGACGGTGAGGTCGTACTCGGCGTTCACACCGATATCAGCGTCAGTGACCGTGAATTCCATCAAGGATAGTGCTATGAAAAAGGAATGAGACATCCATGGTTTCACGACCTTAAGTGTACATATAAGCGACAAAACCCTTCTATATTTATAACAAATCCGTGAAACATCAGTACCAATTGTACGATGCGGACAAGATAATGAGCATGTGCGTATGAACCACAACCTCATGCATGGTGATTTCACAATAGTCATATACGTTAGTTCGATGAGAAAACCACAATAAGTAGTCAAGTTGAGATCATTGTACTTCAATGACATCAATGATGTACCACGTAAAGCGTGGATATGTGCGCTATATAAATATCCTATAATAAAAAATAAAAAATAATAATACAGAAAGTTCAATGAGATCATTGTACTTGTACGTTCAATACTCTTTTTCCTACACGCGATGAAGTGAGTTCATAGTCGGAATTGTACAATGGTCTCTTCTTGTAGCAGATATTCCTTATGGACGTGGAAAGGGTTTTGTCGCTTCTATTCATATAACAATACTCGGAGAAATCCACAGACGGGAAGGCATATATGCATTTGGTCCAATCAATACAACCATACCGTTTGCACCAGCTTCTTGAAAAGTTGGCGTATACGATGCCGTGCTAAATATTGGAGGGTTGTCGTTGATGTCAAGGACATTGAAACTTAGCTCAACGCTTGACACCTGTGCCCCGCTGTCTGTGACGGTCAAGGTCAGTTGATCCAGGGTGTGAATTCCGGTGTCACTGTCTACCCGGTTCTCCAATGACAGCATCCCCGTTGTCGCATTGATGGCAAATATATCGGCGTTTGCACCTTCAAATAAAGAATTGTGCAACTGAGCTACAAGATAAAATACTTGCTTACAGAGCTACAGATAACTTTTTGGGTCATTGAGTTATGTACTCGCTTGTGTTCATCTTAATTGGGTATCCTAATGTTCCTTTGAGTAACCTAATAGATTGTACCCACCTCAATCAAACTCAGTTGGGTATTTTGCCATTTTCCATTAATTGTAAAAATATATTTAAGTTTAAATGTTGGTTTACGTGTTTGTTATTTAGGTTTGATCTGTTATATGAGAAACGATAAGAAAGACTGCAAGTTGCCAAGTCCAGGTGCTGAAATAGAAACTCTCAATATACCTCAGATATTTTATCTATTTTGGTTTGTACGCATGTAATATCAAATCTATTGAGTATTTACAAAAATTGAAGCGTACTTGTACGCAATAGACGTAATAGGAATTGAGTTTTCACATAAATATTTGCGTAATTTACGCAGATACGCAGCTTATCTCTACCTCTGGCTTACGTCTATGTTAATTCAATTCACTTTTAGAGCAACTGGAAAAGCGACAGAGTAGAACGTTTAGCAAAATGAGGATGTAAACAAACACCGTTGTTCAAATATGTTTAAGGGATGCATATGACGTAAGCACTACGAATGCACTTGAACTGTACATCACAGAATCAGTCATACTGATTGTATTCATACACACGTATGTCAAGGAATTCAACGTTGGTTACTAAAAAGACAGGCTGCTTTTCATAACAAAGGTAAAACTATCTTAACGAACGGTAATCATAGACTATGATAAATGATCAGTTTATCGCATACCTTTTTGAACTAAAACTGTTCCCTGTAGTATATAAATAACTATATAGAACTATGTTCGTGGATATGTAAGTGAACAGTTATTATTGAGAGGAGGGAGGTCCTGACAATACTGACCAGAGAGTTCATAAAGGAACACGTCTCCAACGTCGAGGTCAGTTACACTGAAGACGTTACCAATTACGGTACCCGTCACCTGTTCCTCCGCAATGGAGTAGTCCGCTACAGTGATGGACGGCGGCTCATCGATGACGTCAACGACGTTGACGATGAAGGAGACGTAGACGGTGTGCTTGCCATCCGATGCACTGATGGTCATAAAGCAGAGATAATGTGGTAAACCTACATGTAGATAATGGCTGTGATGTGACATGTGACATGTGACATGTGGCATGTGATATGTGAGGTGAGGTGAGATGAGTAGAGCTGTGGTGAGGTGAGGTTAAAGCCATTTTCTCTTGTACTTGTACAAGTCTGGATGTTTTTCAATAGCGTAAACCTACTGTGATGCAATTCACCATGGTAGGCGGTTTACCTTCCACCTAGTAGGTGTTAAATTTCAACATGATGAAAACTGCAGAACTTGTAATTTACTTAGGTGGAGAACTACCATTTTTCTCAGCACTTTTGACTTTTCGATTTTCTAAAGATATATAGGCTTCTTTTACACATGTGAGACTCGCTGCCTATTTGGTGTTGACTTATATTGGTAAGCTCTAATTTTTGGTCATTCGAAATAACGTTTGTAATAACGTTTCCTCATCCTATTTCATATTGAAGACCATTTGCCCTTCAATTGTTCAGGTAGACATTCGGATCTGAGGAAATTGTAGTTTAATTAGTCACCGTACCGTTATAAATTATTTTCCCATTTTACCTTACAATAACAGAATGGTATCTGTTGATTTCAAAATCCAGTTTCTTCAGCAACTTTATTTCATCTCCATCACATTCGAAAACGCCACTGCTTTCAGCGTCAACGCTGTATGTTATGACGTCTCCGTCAAGGTCAGTCGCCTCCAGCGTAAAGATGGCGGACCCAACAGTGACGTTCTCTAAAACCTCTGTTTGGTATTTTGCCTCGGCAAACTCTGGCGGGAGGTCGTTGGTGTTGTTGACGAACACCTTGATGGAAGCGGTGGCTTCCAGTGGCGTGCTTCCGCCGTCGACAGCTCGGAGGGCGATGTCGTAGAAGCTGATACTACCCTCTGCGTCCAGCTCGGACTTAACAATAAGATCCCCTGTCTTGGCACCGATGGTGAACGTTCCTGCTGCATCCGAGCCGTCGTCTGTGCATTAAAGATAATATATCTGATCTGAGTAAGTATAATTCACTTCCTTGAAGTAAACAGAGCCAAACTTATAAATGTGTTCGGATATCTACTTATCCCACTCGGATGAGTATAGCTTTTCATCCAAAGCAGAATGTGAATTGAACACATACGTCAATGGGGTGAAATAATCATGCAAACGATCATCTTGCATACAACTCCACATCCTAATAGTCTTTACTAACGAGTCATGGGTGGATATAGATATTGTACACAACTATTAACAAATATCAAATGACATTGGAATATTCTACAACCATAAAGGCTTGTTCAGTGACGTAAAGAACATTTCAGAAGGTTCTGCAGAGTGCTGGACCCAGGGTCTGCTGCCATAGGGGCATTGTAGAATTGTTCTAGCATCTTATTCTAACTATTGTCTCTGATTTCACATGCCATCTCATGTTACCAGAAGACCACATACCCTGACAGGATCACTATACCGCGTCTAGGCCATTTTCATAGTTGAAATTCTGTTGCTGACAGTTCATATTATCATCACTGCTCTGTACCATTGAATGTGTGCTGCCGCTCTTATTTTATACTGTCACAGTGATACCTTTGTATTGATATGCATTGATTTGTGAATTTAGTTAGGTTTAGTATACAATTGTTAATTACATCCCATCTCTTTGTTGCTTGTTGCTTTTGCAACCTAGTTCTTTAACGGGCTGATTCCCTGTTAACAGTTTAGTTTCAACTTGGGAATCAGCAAGTAACAACGGAAACAAATTCTTTTCTGTATGTAAAGAATGTAAAAAAATGACTGTAAAAACTATATGAATTGAAAACTGATAATCAATGATGACACCAGGTGTTTGCAAAAGGAAATGAATACTGATAAATGATATTGGAGACAGGAATTAAGTTCCGATAACTTGTTCTTCTCGGAATTGAGACAGCACGTATATCTAATTACATACCTAATGTAATTGATGTGATTTCATATGTGATCTTTCCGTCGTCGGCCTGGTCGTCATCAGTCGCCGTCACTGTCGTTATTGCCGTCCCCGGAGCAGCGTCTTCGTCAACTGTGACGTCATTGAGGTAACCATTGACGTCGGGTACAGGGTCACTCCACACAGGGTCGAACTCGTTCTCTGGTTTGACCGTCACCTTCACTATCGCTGTACCCGTGTTGGCCTCCCCCTGGTCTGGTGTGTCCACTGCTGTGATGACCAGGGTGTACATGTAACCTTCGTCCTTTAACAACTCGTAGTTAAGTGGGTTCGAACTTGTTAAAAGCTCCAAACCTGACATTTTGAATTTAGGACTAGCGGTGTCGTCACCACTCCCAATGCTGACACTGAACAAAGCATTATTGCCTTCGTCGGAGTCGGTGCAGGTGAGTGTGACAAGGCCGAGGTCTGAAAAGGGAAATAATTATGTACAGGCTTCTAATATTACATTTTAAAGCAAACACATGTGCCGTCATCCTCTATTCTTTCAAGATCTTTAACTAACGAAGACAATCGGGAGCATCTTTACTATTGCAATACCTCTGGATATTTGAGTGACATTGTATAATTTTGAGTGAGTGAGTGAGTTTAGTTTTACGCCGCACTCACCAATATTCCAGCTATATGGCGACGGTCTGTAAATAAACGAGTCTGGACCAGACAATCCAGTGATCAACAGCATAAGCATCGATCTGCGCAATTGGGAACCGATGACATGTGTCAACCAAGTCAGCGAGCCTGACCACCCGATCCCATTAGTCGCCTTTTACGACAAGCATAGGTTACTGAAGATCAATATTCTAACCCAGAGCTTCACGGGTCTGCATAAGTTTGATGTGTGCAAAGCAGAAGAAACAGTTTCAAGATCTCAACAGTGTGTTTTATCTAATATTTCATAGTTGTTTCATAAAGATTTTATACGTACATTATAATTAATTTGAGTCATGGCAATGAACCAATTATGGTATCTATACTACAAGCAGCCAGTGTAATTGGCATTATAACCAGGGGAAAATGACTTTTGTTCTAAAAACGATTGGTAGAGACCATTATATGGTTTTGGCAGGGTATTTTATAGGCAGGAAATCCGTTCTGGCGAAAAACATGGCATTATATCCAGGGTGGCATTATAACCAGGGTGGCATTATAACCAGGGTGCACTGTAATCATGTAATCAGCTTTGGAATGATAGACTGGCAAGTGTACTAAACTGAATCATGTACGTGAACTCATCAGATTATCCATATTACCTATCTATCCATGTTACATATTACCTATCTATCCATATTACCTATCTATCCATATTACCAGATTACCTATCTATCCATATTACCTATCTATCCATATTACCAGATTACCTATCTATCCATATTACCTATCTATCCATATTACCAGATTACCTATCTATCCATATTACCTATCTATCCATATTACCTATCTAGAATATAAGCTATCTACAAACCTTCAATGGAATTTTCAGTTACTTCAGCGCTGAAGACAGCAGGTACGCAGATGGGTGGGGAGTCGTTGACGTCTTCGACTGTGATGGTGAAGTCCTCGGTGGCCTGAAGTCCAGCTTGGTCAGTGACGGTCAGTGTGAGGGACAGCTCTACAATACCAGCCTCTCTGTCAATGTCCTGTGCCACGGACAGATCTCCAGTAGCGGGATCTATGGTCAGGTAGCCACTGTCAGCTCCTGTAGATACAACCGGAATCTTGCCATACTCATTTAAATGTTTATATGAATAAAAGACATATATAATGACAATATAGTGCTTATGAAGAACAATATTTCAGTGGAAATAGTAACGTTCATAATTAATAAATACACGAAGACGTAATATCTTTCTGCAAATATAGAGGTGTTAAAATGTTGGTTGGTTGGTTTGTTGTTTAACGCCGAACTCAGCAATATTCAAGCTATATGGCGGCTGTTTGTAAATAATCAAGTCTGGACCAGACAATCCAGTGATGTAACAGCATGTTAGAATGTAAAAATGGTCTTGAAAAAAAAAGAATATTCTTAATTAAGCATGAAATCCAACTGATTTAATTGCATTACTTGATTTGATTGGTCAGTCAGAGGTATAAAGTAACCACAAGCAACCCTGCGATTTGGTGACTGGCTACTCAATGGTGGTGACCTAAGGTCGATTTATGACTTACTAGTATCCTGATTGCAATTTCTTGATAACTTGGTTATACCCATTTACATTTGTGTCGAAAGTTTATGGTTTCAGTATGGTATTTATGTTCCTAGAATCTATTTATTTTTCATTTACATCATCGCCTTTATATATTTTCCCAGGTCTGACGGTAACCTTTAAGTGGAGGGTCATAAGAGGGGTGAGTAGTAAGCAGCAGGCCTGATCTTCTCAAAAATGGCCGTCGCATTATTTATTACTACGAAACTGCCATCATAAGAATGGACAAAATATATTTTGTCGATTCGATGCTAAAGCGGTGCGAGTCTAGATTACAGAACTCGTGCCTGTCAGATATTTGTATCATACAACTGGTTGTTTCAAAACGTATCTTAGTCACCTTTGCTAGTAAGGCATGTCTATTATACATGTTTAAATCTGTTGAAAGGACATTGTAATTATTTTATTAAATTATTTTATTATAAAACCCACTTGAAATATTGTCATCATCTCTAGCCGCTTAACTTCGCTACCACCAAATTGTTTCCGTAAAGTTTTGTCAAGGGAAACTGCTAACTCCAACTCCAACTTCTAAAAATGCCAGTCAAAGAAGGTAAACTTGGCTGGGTTCCAACTGATAATAATTGGCAGAGCTACAGATAACTTTTTGGGTCATTGAGTTATGTACTCGCTTGTGTTCATCTTAATTGGGTATCCTAATGTTCCTTTGAGTAACCAAATAAATTGTACCCACCTCAATCAAACTCATTTGGGTATTTTGCCATATTCCATTAATTGTAAAAATATATTTAAGTTTAAATGTTGGTTTACGTGTTTGTTATTTATGTTTGATCTGTTATATGAGAAACGATAAGAAAGACTGCAAGTTGCCAAGTCCAGGTGCTGAAATAGAAACTCTCAATATACCTCAGATATTTTATCTATTTTGGTTTGTACGCATGTAATATCAAATCTATTGAGTATTTACAAAAATTGAAGCTTACTTGTACGCAATAGACTTAGTAGAAATTGAGTTTTCACATAAATATTTGCGTAATTTACGCAGATACGCAGGTTATCTCTACCTCTGAATTGGTTTCAAATTTGCAACCTTAAATAATTGTCACAGTTGGTTTATCTCCTAAATATACACATTTAGAATGGTATATTCGTAAGATGATGTGATGAAACAAATTATGAATGACATTAACTATCCAAAGACCTATATTTGAATAGTTTACTGAAACAGGCAGATGTGTATTTCACCTGATAAGCCAAATGTGAGGACATCCTTCTCGTCAGCATCCGTGACCTTGAAACCTCCTATAACTCCGGTGCCAATAGTTTGGCCCTCCGCCATTGTTCCTGTGGTCACCATGGTAATGACTGGAGTTTCATCGATGACGTCAACAATATTGATTAAAAGTGAGACCTCGGCGTCAAATGTTCCGTCGCTGGCTCTGAAATGAAATTTGTAAACAATACACCAAGCATAAAACAATTAACTAGAACTCGTACGCAGCTAAACAAAATTAAGAAAGCTTACTTGATCACGAGAACATGGTGATTGGCATCCTCGTAATTTAAAGCAGCCTTGACCTTGACGTCACTTCCGTCGCAGAGAAATAGATCATCCCGTCCGCTGATGATTGACAGTGTTACGGCATCCCCGTCATAATCATCAGAATTGAGCGTTATGACAGCTGTGTCTGCAACAGCGTCTTCACTGAGGTCTGCCTGGTACTCTGTCTTATCAAACACTGGAGCGTTGTCGTTGACGTTGTCAAGGGAGACGGTGATGGTTCCTTCTACAAAGCGTGGCGTGGCGCCGTTGTCGGATGCCTTCACTACAATGGCGTAACTCGCCTCACCGTTTGTCCCCGAGTCTGTGTCCAGCTCGCTTGCAACCATCAGGTCACCTGCTGATGCGTCTATGGAAAATGTACCTGGAGCTGTCGCCCCAGAAGCTGAAAAGATTATAATATCAAATCTAAATATACACAATGATTACGATATCAAGATATGAATTAAAGTTAACTGCATGGCAAAGAAACTTTGTGAGTTCCTTGTGTGAACTGTGCATTATAGTTCATAGCGACTTACCGTTGGAATAATTAAGTTTACAGACAGACCGACAGACAGACAGATTTATGTCAGTAACAGGCCACCTGCCTGATTTCATGGGCAAGATCAACTACCTATTTTCTGTGAGCTTAAAATATTTTTGACGTTGTAAACATATGTAGCAACAGACCTAATGCTATCAGGGTTATTGTTCTGTATTAAAGATACCAAAGTGTCAGTAGTGTATGGTTTCGTAAAGTATCGACAAGATTCACAGATATAAAGTACATGTAAAAGTACAAGTCAAACTTGTTAACATGGAAGCGCACAAAATAATTTATGCAGGAATCCAAAACTACCAAAAGGCATCACATCATCACCAGATCTATCTATGTGCCACGTTTGGTGAAGAAATATTGAACGGTATTTATGGTCTGCTCCGGAAAAGACAAATGTGCACGGACGGACGGACTCCATTTTAATAACCCCGTAAAACGCGTTGTGAGGGGATAAAACATATTTGAGATGAACCCGGACTCGAAATGCTTACAGTGCAATAAATCATCTCAATTTCTAAAAAATATTTGATCCTCGCAAAGACCCTGTGAACCAATCTGGTCCTTTGGCGAACGCTTCAACACCAATGAAAGAAGTAATCTAGATATTATAATGATACTTACGCTATTGAATTATAATGTACACTATAAGTTGTATGCTTCTCTCGAGGGTAATACGGTCTGATGTACGCCTCTTTGTAGCATTGTCACCCGAGCCGGTAGGGGAGGGATGACACTGCTACAAAAAGGCGAACATCAGACCGTACGAGGGTGACACTGCTACAAAGAGGCGTACATCAGACCGTATTACCCGAGGGAGAAGCGTACAACGTATTTATCTTACCGTCATGTTAAATGTACAAGACATCATTTTATTTTGTTAAAGATCGCGACCGACTATATGACATGTAAACAAAATGGCGTCTGCCTCTCGACTGGATTTTTAAAATCAGTGAAACATAGTCTGACAAGCTTAAAACTGCTATAAAAATGGTGAATTATGTTTAAGTTGAGTATGCAAAGCAGTCAATGTATAAAATAGCTTAAATGAAGCATTGAAAGTCGGTAAAATAAATCTGTACAAATTGAACACAAAAACAGCTGATCGAACGGTTTTCGAACTCCGGGCACGGCATGCGTCATATTATGACGTCATACGATTGTTAGCGCTTCAGCTTCTCGGCGGAGAGCTTGGCGGTTACCGTGGCAGCGGGTAATATTTTTTCCAGTTGTCACCCTCCTGGGAGGGTGACACGGAAATTTGTTAAAGCGTCATTGACCAATGAAATTAAAGTATTTTACATGAAGGTAAGATAATGTTGTATGATATATCGTTCTACATACATGAGTGTCCGAGCATTGTGTCGCCAGCTGGCAATACCACACAATGTCGGGAGCTTCATTGTAGGAGAGGGCATGTTTACCCTTTCTGCAAACACCGGTTGTCATAAGTAATGGCCAGTGACCCTTGGATATAATTTTCACCGTTATTTTTCCCTTTACGCTGAACGGAATCTGTTTCTTTAAACAATCGAGACAATCGGTTAATCTGTGGCACTGACGTGTGATATTTACTTTTCTCTCCCTTAAGTCCTGTTTGTCGAGTTTTCTGTCTGTAATGTCTTACTACACGCTAATTACGTACCAAATATTTTTGGAATTCTGCAGGGTATTTCAAAGAGGTACTATTAAATACATATTAATTTATCGATGTGATGGTGGCATAGTCATGAGCTGGTCCCTGGCCATTCAGCTCAGTAATATGAGATGTTGGATATGGGATATTGGATGCGGGAGGTCAGACTGATATATGATAAGAATAAAATACCTACCTCCCGTGATTGACACGATACTGAAGGTCACTCTTCCATCCTCTCCAAAGTCATCATCAGATGCAGCAAACGTTGTAATAACATGTCCTAGAGACGCGTCTTCACTAACACTCGCTCCTGTAAATGTTCCACTTCCATCTGAAGCAGGTCCTGTCCACACAGGGTCGAACTCGTTCTCTGGTTTGACCGTCACCTTCACTATCGCTGTCCCCGTGTTGGCCTCCCCCTGGTCTGGTGTGTCCACTGCTGTGATGACCAGGGTGTACATGTAGCCTGATGCTTCTAAAGTGGTAGATTCATAGTCCAGCGTGTTTGAGTCAGTGAGAAGCTGAGTACCCGATACTGTAAATTTGGCGTCGGTGTCGTCACCGCTACTAAGAGCAAGGGTGAAGATGGCATTGTTGCCAATGTCATCGTCTTTACAATTGAAGTCAAGAAGAGCAGTACCTGTAATACATTAACGTCACTTTAGTTCGTACACACATTGTCTCATCGTCGTAACAGCTCGTAAAGTAAATGTAGGATGACCTTTGTGTCACCTTCCCCAAAAGAATTATAGAAATTATTCTTATTTGGGTGACCAAGGTTACTACATGTCTGAAAACCAGGGATGACAAGAACGACGTTGGCTTGTTGTTTAAAGCCGCTATATTCCAGCTATATACTCGAGTCTGGACCAGACACTCCAGTGATCAACAGCGTGAGTATGGATCTACACAATCTAGATAGCTTTGAAAAGGACAGGAGCTTAAGTGAAGCTAAGTGGGTGGGTGAGTTTTGGATGAATGAGAACGATGTGAACACATAACAAGTGGTCTTGCAGCTATTCGCAGCAACAAATCAACACTGACGAATGAACATCATGACGGAGCGTAGATCACCCTATATATGTAAAAAGGACAAACATGTGCTTGATAATCAGAGTATGAAGACAAGGGAAGATAACACTTAATAAACATCTACAAATGATGAGACATCAGGATGAGGAGTGAAGTAGATTGTAATTAGTCTTCCTGTGGATTATGAGTTGCATGTCAACAATATTAATAGTAAATGCATTATTTTCATTGCGTAATTCCCATGTCTTAAAACATGATCATAGTGATACACAATTACTGCTCCAGTCATCGGTGTGGGGGCGGTGGGGTAGCCTAGTGATTAAAGCGTCCGCTCGTCACGCTGAAGATCAGGGTTCGATTCCCCACGTGGGTACAGGACCGCCTCCGTGGTGTAGTGGTTAGAGCATCCGATTGAGAGCGGAAGGACGTGGGTTCGATCCCCGGTCGCGTCATACCAAAAGACGTTAAAATTTGGTACTTGTTGGTCCCTGCCTGGCGCTCGGCACTAATGGGTACAACAAGGACTGGTCGGCTCGGTGTCAGAATAATGTGTATCTCAGTGAGCTAGCACTATAAAACCAGCCTGAGTTTGGGCTAGTGCAAGCAGCCACACATACACACGCATGCATGTTGTCATATGAGCGAAATGATTTTAAGTGTGACGTAAACCCCACCTCACCTCACCTCACCCACGTGGGTACAGTGCGTGAAGCCCATTTTGGTATCCCCGCCGTGATATTGCTGGAGCATTGCTAAATGCGGCGTAAAACTAAACGCACCTGAACTCACACATCGGTGTGCACTCAAGCTATATGCTTGTGAGTCTACAGCCAAAGCTACATGACCAGCGCTAGATGATGTTATTCATGTTATTATCTCATAATACGTATACCTATTGTCTTTGACAAACATTGGAGCTAGGTCGATACAATAGATGGACTACATACATCACTGACAGACAGAACCCGTGAAGATCCTGGTTAGAATATTGATCTTCAGTAACCAATGCTTGTCGTAAGAGGCGACTAACGGGATCGGGGGGTCAGGCTCGCTGACTTGGTTGACACATGTCATCGGTTCCCAGTTGCGTAGATCGATGTTCATGCTGTTGATCACTGGATTGTCTGGTCCAGCCTCGATTATTTTTAGACCGCAGCCATATTGCTGGAATAATACTAAGTGCGGCGTGAAACTAAACTTACTCATTCACTCACTCACTGACAGGCACAGGAATGCAGGTCATATTACCACTTACCAACGGCAGTATTTTCTGTTACCTCGGTTGTCATGACATCGGGGTCAAACACGGGTGGGACATCATTTATGTCCTTGACTGTGATGGTAAAAGCCTGGGTGGCCGTGAGCCCGGCCTGGTCAGTAACGGTCAGTAAGAGATCATTCAGCTCGGTGCGGCCACTGGTCCCATCTCTGTTGACATTCTCGGCCACTGATAGACCGCCGGTAGCCGAGTCAATGCTGAGATAGTGACTGGCTGCACCTAGAACATTACACAGTAAACTCCGGTTATAACGAATGGAGAGATACCACTAATTTTATTTCATCATAGCCGGAGTTTATTACAGGCATTTCGATTAAAAAACACAGCAAGTTCCCAGGACTAAAGAAAGAAGTTTGTTATACCCGAAAATTCGTTTACTTTTTGTAAGTTCAAAACCAACAAACCAACAAACCCACATATGATCAGTATTACAGAGAATCTCGTGGGAATTCCCGAGAATATACGTTGGGAGTAAGTTGGGAGTAACCTATTCTTGTATTAAGAGATGCCCAACTGGATCTGGTTCACTAAATTACTGACCATGCAGATTCAATATAACTGTACCAGACGATGTTGTCGTTAGTGAGTGAGTATGGTACCAAGCCGCAGTTTTTGCACTATAGCAGCAATATTACGGCCAAAATGTTACACCAGAAATGAGCTTCACACAGTGTTACCGTGGAGAATCGAAACCGAATCTTCGGTGTGACGAGTGAACGCTATAGTCTAGCCCAATTCTGTCCCAATGCATCAGACGGCGTTGCAGACACTCTTATGCATCCTGAATATTGCTGACTTCAGACAACGTACGAGACCACAATAATCCTAAAGCTTGTAATACCAACAACAACAAGAGCAGGGGCGGATCGAGGATTTTAGAGAATGGGGGTGCACATATTATGAAGTAGAAGGTTGAGGGAAAAGGCTTCTCAGGGAAACCTTTCTTCTTCTTCTTCTTTTTTTTTTGATGTGGGTTGGGGGGGCGGACACCTACTCTGGATCCGCCCCTGAAGAGGTTTTGCGCTAATTACCAGTAAGGGAATACGTCAGTGTGTCTCCAGCATCAGGATCCGAGACGACATATCCTGCAACGACTCCAGTTCCAACGGTTTCTTCTTCTGACATGGAGCCTGTCGACGTCAGCGTAATGACTGGGGGTTCGTCAATGGCGTCCAGCACAGTAACTTGTACAGATACGCTGGTGTCATGCTTACCATCCGTGGCGCTAGAACCAACGAGTGAGACACTTTATATAGTTACATCACGGCTGTACGCCTACCGCAAACCTTGAGGTAGGGCGTAGGTACTCACCACTTCCACAATATACTGACCAGCGAAGACTGGTTCTTGGGCCACCAATTGATCAATGACTCAAGTACCAATGACGCGATCAGCGCATCTCAAATTCAACCATCATGATTCTTAATAAGAAGTCCCTGTTTGGAACTCTAAGAGAAAAGACCACATCGCCCTAGGTTTGTCGCACGACTTTTATATACTTATGTGTAAGAAGTGATAGTGTGACTACGTTATGACTTCGGTGAACGAGTGAGTTGTAAGGGTCAAATATATGCAGTGGTGAGTTGCCACCAATGTAGTATGGTACACAAGGTTTCTTTTTTTCAGCTTATGTAAGTATGCTGTATCAAATGCAAAAAGAAAGTTTTCAGAGACATTAAATCTGATCCCAACGCTTGACAGATCGAAACCATGTTCTTATATGGTCCATAAAATAATGCACTTTGTATGAATATTCAAGCTTACTTGATGATCAATACATGCGAGTCTTCCGTCTCAAAGTCCAGAGAAGATTTCACCTTCACATCGTTTCCGTCAACTTCAAACAAGTCTCCGTTTCCAGCAACTATTGACAACGACACAACATCGTTGTTATCAATATCAAGAGTGTTCATCGTGAGAACTACAGTTCCGATCGCCTTGTCTTCTTCAACGTCTGCCTTGTACTCGGTAAGGTCGAAGGATGGGGCGTTGTCATTGGCGTCATCCAGAGACACAGTGATGGTTCCTTCCACAGAGCGGGGAGATGTCCCACCATCAGTAGCTCGCACCACAACACTGTAGCTGCCTTCTCCCCCAGTTTCCGAGTCAGCGTCCAGCATCTTGGCGACAGTGAACTCTCCTGAACGTTCGCCAATCGCGAACAGACCGGAAGTAGTTGCTCCAGAAGCTGTGAGACAAATGAAATCGTTATTCTGTATTGTGAGACCATTCTATTCATTGTTATATTACGAACAGGTCAATGGATATCTGCAAAGAGTTTTTCATGGAATAAAGCTCAAGTTTGGAGGTAATCTCCACATCTCAAGAGTCTTCAGTTCACTATATCTCATTTTCAAGCAGTGCTTATCCCTTGATGATGTCCCACACAGTCCTACTTATTATAGTCTGTTTGCATTGAAAACGTATGGATGAATTTCACTTTAACAAAAACGTAAATCAAATAAAGTGAAATTAGAATTGCGAATCCTCATAATTGCACCTTGCCAATTGAACATTTTAATCTCAGAATTTTATTAAACTTAGGATAAAAGTTGTTTAACAAACGATCATAGTTTCAAATTGCTATTATTGGTTTGTATTACAAGGGGTATGCACATTAAATGAAACACCGAGAACAAGTAGGGTTCGTCTAAGTTAACGCTCATCACGTTCTGCACGTGCATTTGTATCACTGTTCCAACTACTGCGTTTACCCCCTTGTAATACAAACCAATAATAGCGACAGACATTAACTCACACGACCATTTATTCATGACGTCTTTGAATGTACCCAAATATTCTCAGACTGACAGAAGGGCATTCAGTTCACATACCCAGTAAATATAAAAAGGTGAACGAATAACCACTCTTGATTAGCCATCGAAACAGATTCTGAATCATGTTGGCAAAATTGGGATTAAAAGTGCATGAATGGATCTCTAGAAATCAGTTATAATAATAATAATAAGTCGTCATCTACAGTCTCCAAACACCAAGTGATTGCTCGCGGCGCTTCATCAGAATCTGATTATTATTACCCCGGAAAACCCAAGCTGCTTGTTAGGCGCTAGAAGGTTATAGTCACCTGACTTTATCCAACCGGGTACCCATTTTCTGCTGGGTGAACAGATTCAAATTTGAACAAACTCGCTTGCCTAAGGTAAGACCACATGTATCACATGTGCTTCGTCGGGGCAGGACTGAAGTCCTAGAAACTCTCAGGAGTCAAGCTGCCAAACACGGTCACCCATCCAAGGACTGTCCGAGCTCAACGTTGCTTAACTTCAACCGATTTGTGACCTGAGCTCTGTTCACAGGACCGCACGCCACCTGATGACACCAGGTGTTCAAGGACAGGGAAAGCATATCCTACCTCAACTGTAAAACCCACCACTCATTAAAACTAGATCCTACCTCAACGGTAAAACCCACCACTCATTAAAACTAGACATTTCCGCAACGTGCTTCAGGTAAACCTGTGTAAGATGGAAAGACGTACCGGCTGTAATGGAGACAATGCTGTAGGTGAGCGTTCCATCGTCTCCACTGTCATCGTCTGTAGCCACGAATGTTGTTAGGACATGACCTGGTGTCTCAGCCTCGCTAACACTAAGTCCTGTAAATGTTCCACTTCCATCTAAAGCAGGTCCTGTCCACACAGGGTCGAACTCGTTCTCTGGTTTGACCGTCACCTTCACTATCGCTGTCCCCGTGTTGGCCTCCCCCTGGTCTGGTGTGTCCACTGCTGTGATGACCAGGGTGTACATGTAGCCTGATGCTTCTAGCCTATCGTAGTCGACGAAGTTAACGTCTGTCTGGAGCTGTTGACCAGACACCTTGAATTTTGTAAGGGTGTCATCTCCATCAGCGACAGTGACGTCAAACAGTGCGTTGTTGCCGTCGTCTTGGTCGGTAGAAGTGAAGTCCAATAAGGAGGTGTCTGCAAGAGAACAGCGCATATTTGTATTTATCTTTATCCATTAAAGGGCTTTGAACGTAAATTTCATAGTATCTAGAGAGGACGACCAATCTGATAGCTTAATGTGATATCCACAATCATTATGTGCCGCTGTGTGTGTGTGGTGTTGTGTTGTGTGTGTGTGTGTGTGTGTGTGTGTGTGTGTGTGTGTGTGTGTGTGTGTGTGTGTGTGTGTGTGTGTGTGTGAGTGAGTGTGTGAAGGACAACTTGTAGAATTATGAAATCATATAGAATATAATCAACTTCAACGATCATTATTATCCAATCATTTTCTTTGTCACAACCGGAAGTATGACTCTGCAGGGCTACCATATTGCGTGATGTCTGTCACAAAAACTTAAAATAACAAAGGAGTGTGTTACATGTAATTACATACCTGGAGCAGTGTTTTCAGTGACCTGGATCTCGTACACAGATGGATTGAATATCGGCGGGTGGTCGTTGATGTCCTTCACTGTGATGGTGAAGTCCTGGGTGGCCTGGAGTCCGGCCTGGTCAGTGACGGTCAGTCTGAGGGACAGGGCTGACTTGGCATTGACCCCTTCTCTGTTGATGTTCTGGGCAACTGTCAGGTCACCTGTGGCTGAATCAATGCTGAGGTAGGCGCTGTCAGCTCCTGTGAAGGACATTCAAAATAGTCATTATGTTATAGCTATAAAGTCTACACATTGCGGGGCTGCCTCTGTAGTCTGGTGGATGAAGTATCTGCACTGGGACCGGAAGGTAGATGGTTTCGTCCCCGTGGGTGTCATACCGAAAGATGTTTAAAGTTTGTACTTATTATTACCCTCTCTGGAGCTGGGCTCTAGAGCTGAAGCTCTCTTAGCGCAAGATAGTCGTAAGTTAATTTTAATGTATGGCACTTACGACTATCTTAGCGTAAGAAGCTTCGGAAAATCGCCCTGGGCACAAAGGAGCTGTAACACGTATGGGTCAGCTCAGGGTCACTATACTGCGTCTGAGTTAATGTCTCCACCGATTACTGGACAGTGATCATGGTATGTCAGTGGTCTAAAACAGACATTAGTGTGTACTTAGTGAAAGCGATCATACACACGCACACGCACACGCACACGCACACGCACACTGGGACGCAATCATGCCTCCCAAGACTTTTGTTTTAAAGTTCTGAAGTTACAAACCAGTGAGCGTGTAGGAGAGGGCGTCTTGTTTATCAGCATCCGTGACGATGTACCCTCCATCAACTCCAGTTCCGATTGTTTGTTCCTCTGACACCGAACTTGTTGTTGCCATGGTGATGACAGGTGCCTCGTCAATAACGTCAGTTAGATCTATTTGCAATGTAACCTCTGTTTGGAACTTCCCATCCGTTGCACTGCAAAGAAGGTAAAATATACTCCATATGTGGATCCAAGTTCTGCAGCATATAATAAATATGCTGGCAAAAGAAAGTGCATACATGTAAGTGTGATGAAAGATAATCACAAACATCATCAAAATGACATATGCCCAAAGCATCCTGTTCTGATCATTACACTTTGTGTCATTCCTATCATAATTATCGTTAGACCATTATGATGACGTCATGCTGTTGGTTGTCCTGATTTTGAGAAAGGAATTCACTAGACATTCCAAACGTGCATATTAAAATGTGTAGTAAAACTGACATAACAATATAAACAAACGCAAAATTCGAGACAACATATCTCAACCATAACATATTTTGAGAGAAATCAATGATCTAATTCTAATGATGTGTTTATTGCTGAAAGTCTGTAGAATATGGTCAATGGAAGCGAATGAGGTGGGTACGCTACTTCCCAAACAAAGCTATTGAGCGAATGAGTTTAGGGTGTGTTCTAAAATAGAATAGAATAACACTGGATAAGAGAGGATGTCGATGGCTTTGAGGCATGCATAACAGAAAAAACCGGAGGAAGTGACGTGACTGGTAAATATCGGGCTCGTTCTACCTATCTTGGTGCCGTTGTACACCAGGGCCTAGATTTTCGAAGCTCTCTTTGCGCTAAGATAGTCGTAAGGTAATGTTAATACATGGCACTTACGACTATCTTAGCGCTAACAGAGCATCGAAAATCTAGGCCCTGAACTCTAAGGTGATCGTAATCCATACCTTAACATACTTATAACATTCTGTTGTTTTGTATAACGGCATCATGCCGATTTGTAGTCAATGGCACAGGCCTGTAAAACAATTGTAAATAGCCGCAAATCTTACTTAATAATGACAACAAAGACACTCTCTTCTTCAAAATCCAGACCAGCCTTGACCTTGACGTCATTTCCGTCACACGTGAACAGATCACTCCTTCCACTGACAACTGACAACGTTACAGCGTCACCGTCATGGTCGATAGTGTTGAGTGTTTTGACAACCGTGTTCACAGCACTGTCTTCACTGATATCTGCCTGGTAAGTGGACTGGTCGAATATAGGAGCGTTGTCGTTGACATTTGACAGAGAAATGACGATAGTGCCGGCCACAGATCGGGGTGTTTGTCCGTTGTCGGAGGCGGCGACGACAACTGTATAGCTACCTTCACCGTTGGTGCCTGAGTCAACATCCAGAGCTCCGGCCACCATTAAGGCTCCCGTCTGAGCGTTTATAGAAAACAGGTCGTTCGCCGTTGCCCCGGATTCTAAAAAATATTGTATAGTACAATGTGAATTTGAACATGTAAACCCTGCAGAAATTTCTGCATTTAAGAGTAGAAAATTAGGCTTTTCCCAATCCACGTCTTCCGAAAAAAGGGATTGGATAAATCATTTTATTATTTAAAGGATTAATTATAAACTAGAATATTTTTCATTTTTTTGCGTCACGTTTGGCATGAAGCATGGATTTTTAAGAAACGGGAATAGTCTTTCTACTGCCAAAATTGAATCACAAACAGTTCACTTTAACGTTTCACTGCTACATGGATTAAGTCTGTGATGAAAAGTTTGATTTATTGTGGGGTGACACAATAAATCAATTCATGAATGATGCTTACAAATATCATATGCTTAGGAATATCCATTGCATTTGCTGCAAAGACGTAAAGGTTTAGATAATGTAAACTAAGTTCCTGTGCCTTAGGTAGCATTCCCAACTCTGGTAACCACAGAAACAAAAGCCGCTGGCGACGTACGGGAAGTAACATCCGTAATGCTGTAAGTGACGTCCCCATCATCACCGCTGTCGTCATCTGTTGCCACCAGGGTGGCCACGGCTGTTCCAATTTCTGTATCTTCGTTGATGGTAATGGAGTCGAAGTTACCACTGCCGTCTATTGCAGGAGACGTCCACACAGGGTCGAACTCGTTCTCTGGTTTGACCGTCACCTTCACTATCGCTGTCCCCGTGTTGGCCTCCCCCTGGTCTGGTGTGTCCACTGCTGTGATGACCAGGGTGTACATGTAGCCTGATGCTTCTAGACTATCGTAGTCAAGGAGGTTAACGTCTGTCTGAAGCTGTTGACCAGACACCTTGAATTTTGTAAGGGTGTCATCTCCATCAGCGACAGTGACGTCAAACAGTCCGTTGTTGCCGTCGTCATCGTCGGTGCATATGAGATCCAACACAGATGTGTCTACAAAGGCAATAATGTAAGCTGGCAATGTTCAATCCTAATATGACATCCTCTCAGGGTATTCAACAGTTTGTCATTTGATATCAGATAAAGTTCAATCTTTAAATACAAGCCTAGAAGCGAAATGTATTAGATACTTAAGGCATACACTTAGGACTGTCATTGACAGTGCATTAAACCGAAGATGACGTGTTGGTAATGTTACGATTGATACTAGCAGAACAACCTTGCATCAAAACATACAATAAAATACCTTTTTTAGGACTTCAAAGATAAATGTCAGCGGCATGCTAGAAGAGGTTAATGAACATGTACATAATCAACGCCCCCTCTAACTACCAGGATATTCGTATAAAAAGAGTTGTGGTGTTAACCCCACAGGCTTACCAGTCGGCTCAATCATAAGTATATATTAACAGGTTATGGACAATAGCCATGATATAATTACCCACCTGCCGCAGTGTTTTCTGTCACTTCAATCTCATACATAGATGGACTAAATGTTGGAGGAAGATCGTTGATGTCCTCTACTGAGATGGTGAAATCCTTGGTGGCCTGTAGCCCTGCCTGATCTGTGACGGTCAAGGTCAAAGACAACTGCTGTTTACCGGAAGTTCCCTCTCTGTTGACATTCTGGGTCACTGTTAAATCTCCGGTGCTGGAGTTGATGCTTAGGAAGCCACTATCCCCACCTATATATTTAAAGCAATTAACTGTCATTCATTTTATTACATTTCCTTTTATCAGTAAAAATCAGTTTGAAAAAATATCCTTATATAAGGGAACAACCACCTAGACGTGACCTCTTGACATTTTCACACAAATCTCCTTCAAAGGGGTGAGTCTTACGGCCTCTCAAATGAAGAATTCTCGGTTTATATGGGTGCTTCTCGTGGAACATGTGCTGCATCTACTCGACACAGAGCTTCAAAGTCGGGTAAAAGTGATAAAGGTTCTCACAATGCTTATGCGCGGTGTACCTAGTACATAATAAGTGTGCTTGTTCGTATATATATATATATATATATATGTGTGTGTGTGTGTGTGTGTGTGTGTGTGTGTGTGTTTGTGTGTGTGCTCACGGAAGTCCACAAGGAACATACATCAATGCCTTCTGTCTACCCTACTCGCCGGGTCGTAGCTACAGATATTAAGATCGTTACCAGTTAGAGCGTAAGTAAGGACATCGTGTTCATCAGCATCTGTAACGACGTATCCTCCCTTTACAGGAGTCCCAACTGCCTGTTCCTCCGCCATGGAAGTCGTGGTTGCCACGGTGATGACGGGGTTCTCGTCTACTACATCACTTATGTTCACCTGTAGGGATACATCGGTGTCGAATTTGCCATCCGATGCCCTGTATTGACAAAAATATATAGTTGAAAATAATACCATAAACAGAGAATAGCTACATGGGAGGCAATTTGACAAGATATAAAACAGAGTATACAAGATCCCTTTTTACACCGAACCAGTAATCAATCCGACGTTCGAGTAAAAGTATTCAGAGTATGTTAGTGATAATATATACAATTCTTCCCACATAAAGTTACATTACCTCACTACGAGAACATAAAACTTGTCCGTTTCATAATCCAGCGCAGCCTTGACCTTGACGTCGTATCCGTCACACGAGAACAGGTCATCACGTCCGCTGACTACAGACAACGTCACGACATCACCGTCATGGTCCTGGACGTTGAAGGTGATGACAACTGTATCCACAGCGCTGTCTTCGTCGACGATTGCTTCGTACGCCGCCTGATCGAACACGGGGGCGTTGTCGTTGACGTTGGTGAGTGTTACTACGATCCCAGCATCTACAGTCCGTGGAGTCTGTCCTTTGTCGGTGGCTCGGAAGGTAAGGGTGTAACTATCTTCGCCGTTAGTGGCTGTGTCCACGTCTAGTTCTCCTGCCACAGTTACGTCCCCTGTTTGTTCATCAATAGAAAACATGTTGTCTGCTGACGACCCTGAAGCTGAAATGAGAGAAGCGTTAAGAAGCGAAACATTTTCGTGACATTCAGATTCTAAACTGTCAGATTTAAAAAAATTGGACAATATGTTCAGCAAAACTAAAAATGCGGGCATTTTATATACAATGTAAGGTTTGGACCAGGTGTATTCGAAAACGCTCCAACCAGACTTTGATTATTGTTTTATTCGAAAAGAAAAAGGCCATTGTATACAGTTTGATTTTATAGAAAAAACGATGATTCAGGAGATTAAATTCATTTTACTGAATTCGTTTCACTTTGAGGTTTCTCCTACATGAATGTTCTACAATGAATGTCTAAACTCTCTATAGGTTATATATTCTGTCCTTGAGAAAAAAATACCCTAACTGAAACCACATGTCATCCAAGCATCCATATCTACAGCTGGTTCAGCTTGACCTGAGCTACTCTACATATGCATGACCCGGGAGGTCAAATGGCAAAAACGGCAGGTCGAGTTAACTTCATTAAATAGGGGAGCAGATAATGTAATTAATGTTGCGTTCGTGCGAAGCATGCATACATGGATTCGTTATAGAACTTGTCCCGGAAAACAACTCTTCTGAAAAAACAATCATTTCATGATTTAATTGAATTGTTTATACAGTCATATGCTATGCTATCTAGCTTGGTTTTCTAACTTTACAACGTACATGTATACGTCAGTTACTTTCACAAGCCGAATAACTTTCTGTTTCATGAATCGGAAACATTAAACCATCTGTAGCTTCTTTTTTAAAGAAAGTTAAGACATTGCTGGCGATTTTCGACACTGAGATGTCAAACGGCGACCTTGTCTCGGCTGTTCGGACATGTTGACAATCAACAAACAAAGGTGCACCCCTTCACAATTGTAGACCTAGCCTAACACGGTTACGCACTGCATCAGTATTCTCTTGATCAGGTCAAGCTGCACAACTGAGTATGGTTTTACGCCGTTTTAGCAATATTCCAGCAATATCACGGCGGGGGACACCAGAAATGGGCTTCACACATTGTACCCATGTGGGGAATCGAACCCGGGCCTTCGTCGTGACGAGCCAACGCTTTAATCACTAGGCTACCCCACCGCCCCTCAAGCTGCACAAGCTATCTCTCTTTATCCAATAGTCCACTACTGAACCAATGAAGGTCCGAGATCAATGGCACTTGCGTTTCACTCTTGGTTTCACAGACTGCATGCCACTAAGGCTGTTTCAATTTCAAACTTTGCACAACTGATAATGCAACCCTGACAAATATGTCTGTTGATATTTCAACTTGAAATGACTCGGTCAGGATATCTCAGGCCATCTGGGTAAAATATTTAGTTTGGGTCCGTAAAATATATAATGTACCTGCAGTTACTGTCACAATGCTGTAACTAAGATCACCGTCAGCTCCGTCGTCGTCATCTGTTGCCGTCAGCGACACCACGACAGTCCCTGACGTCGTGTCCTCGCCGATAGTAACACCATCAAAGTTACCACTCCCGTCAACAGCTGGCGAAGACCATGCAGGGTCGAACTCATTCTCTGGCTTGACCTTCACCTTGACAATGGCCGTCCCTGTCATGGCCGCTCCCTGGTCTGGTGTGTCCACTGCCAGGATGGTCAACGTGTATATCTTCTTTGACTCGTAATCGCTTCCGCTGGCATCTGTCTGTAACTGGAAACCATCCATCTTGAACTTCGTGGCGGGTCGTCTCCCCCGATGGAGGCAATTGTAATGACGGCATTGTTCCCACTGTCGCCATCAGTACAGGTGAGGTCCAGGAGAGATGTATCTGAAAGCAAACGGAAAATCAGTGGGTTTGGTTCACTGCTGATGCGAATATTATTATATATCACGACGTAGCAGATTTATGAGTGAGTGAGAGAGAGAGTATGGTTTAACGCCGCCTTTAGCAATATTATAGAAACACCCTTCACACATTGCCCCCATGTGGGGATTCGAATGCTTAACCACGAGGCTACCCCGCCACCCCTTAACATAAATGTAAAAGGAGAGCGCGAGGTTATGTTGGTCGTACGTGTTTAACAATCTGTGAAACAAGAAAGGTAAGATGCTTTGTGGATGGCAACTGTTTTGTTATATTTTTAATACGAAATTGTCATCCAGATAGTTTCTTACCTTTCTTGTAATTCACCAACTTCTAAATCCATAAAAAACAGACCACTATTGTAAAGCCCATGCAACCTAAAACCATATTCCACAACACCTTCCACAAGGCTGTCTGAGCAATATAATTACACACAGATAAACAGAAAGTTTAATTTGATGTGCCGTAAAGTCTCCAGCCAAATATGTCAAAAGGTTATAGCAGTCATGAAATTATAAGGTACATCAGGTGGTGTTTAACCTACCGACTGCAGTATTTTCAGTTACTTCGACCTCGAAGACAGACTGACTGAATGTGGGCGGGAGATCGTTGATGTCCTCAACTGTGATTTTGAAGTCCTGCGTGGCCTGGAGTCCGGCCTGGTCAGTGACAGTCAAGGTCAACTGAAGTTCGGTTTTCCCACCATCCCTGTCCACGTTCTGACCTACCGTTAAATCTCCAGTCGAAGTGTCGATACTGATAAACGCACTGTCAGCACCTAGGATTGATGTATGAATCTTTAATCACTGGATCTTGTAAAACATGAACAGTTGCAATCATTCACTTTTGCATCTCGGTAAAACATGAGCTTATGAAATCATCAATCCCTGTACCTTGATAAAACATGAACAGGTGAAATCACAAACTATTGCTTCATGATAAAATATAACCACATGGAATCACTAACTCTGATTCTTCCAGACACGTATCCATAACAGTTTCAAGTACAATCCTACATGATTTGAGCTAGTAAACTGGCTGGCTTTAAGTTTTATTCACGGCGCGATATTCTAAATTAGATGAAAGTTCTGTAGTTCTGGTTTACTACTGGGGAAACCGACGAGCATGCCGCCATATATCAAACTCATATCAATATAGAGTTCGAACCCACGACCAGCGGATCCTTTCACGACAAGGGGGTGTAACTGACTCACCACTGAGAGCGTATGTGTGAGTGTCTCCAGCATCAGCGTCAGTGACCACATATCCTCCATACACGCCTGTTCCTATAGTTTGTTCTTCCGCCATCGAGGTGTTGCTTATCATGTTTATCGCTGGACGCTCATCGACGACGTCGACAACGTTGACTTGAAGAGAAACGTCGGTGTCAAACGTTCCATCAGTTGCCCTGAAAGGATTGCCAGGGTCAAATAATGGATGTCTTCCAATGGTAACACAACAGGTTGGATTGGCATTTAACACAGCAACCCGTCTGGACTTGACACTCCAATGATCAGGAGCATGAGCATCTATCTACACAATTGGGATACATGTGTCAACCAAGTCAGCGAGCCTGACCACTTACCTTCAGTGGGTGTCATAGTTCTAAAGATTTGTTTTGGGCTCATTCCCTTTCGGTTTATTAATAAAGTGTCTTCGAGAAAAATAATATTTCTTTTATGAAAGGGGACACGAGTTGTACGTCGTCACACGTCGCTGGGCAGGGTAGCGTTCCTTGGGCAAGCCAAAACCAACAGTAACGCTTTTAGTAGCCTCACACAAATAATGAATCCATACCCACCTCATTATAAGAACAAAAGTTGTTTCACTTTCGTAATCCAGCGTCCCTTTCACTTTAACATCGTATCCATCACACCAGAACAGGTCATCTCGGCCGCTGGAGATGGACAGAGTCACTGCATCGCCATCGTGGTCGACGGGCGTGAAGGATACCACGACTGTGTCAACGGGACTGTCTTCGTTGACATTCGCCTGGTAATCTGTCTGATCGAACACAGGGGCGTTGTCGTTGACGTTCGTCACGGATATATCAATTGTTCCGTCAACTGAGCGAGGCGATGTTCCACTGTCTGATGCCCTTACTACAACGGTGTAGCTTAATTCTCCATTGGTCCCAGTGTCTCCGTCAAGTCTTGTAGCTATTCTTAATTCCCCTGTCGTGGTGTCTATAGCAAACTTGTCTGACGGTGTAGCTCCAGATGCTGAAACGTATATATTGTCAAATATGAACCGTGTGTTTGTTGTTTTACGCCGCACTCAGCAATGTTCCAGCATGATGGCGGCGGTCTGTAAATAATCGAGTCTGGACCAAACAATCCAGTATTTAACAGCATGAGCATCGATCTACGCCGTTGGGATACGATGACATGTGTCAAAGATGTTACACTACGAGTCTGACCACCCGACCCCGTTAGTCGCCGCCTACGACCAACATGGGTTGCTGAAGACCAGCTCTGACCCGGACCTTTACGGGTAGCCATATGTGTGAGTTTCACCCTAATACTCCAGCAGAACCACAAAGAAAGACACCATGTAGTCGAGGGTTTCACTGATTTTGCCCATTTGGAAGTTCGGAAGTGGATCTTAAGTGTGACGAGCGAATGCTTTCACAACAGGACCACCCTGCACCAGTAGTGTTTAAAGTAAAGTGTCAGCTGAGTGTCTCAGTCACCTAAAGCGTGGTTAATTACAAGCGGATGTTTATAAACACACCTGAACCTTATTCATTCCACTAGCTCCAGTCCTTTGAAACTATGATCAACAGGAATTGGCTAAACATGTCACATCGCTTATCCACAGGATGCGATGCAATCCTATATATTCTGTATATGAAGGTTTTACTCCTCTTTAGTCTCAAGCATAGGTGTTTAGTATGAATTGTTTGAGTGACGGGAACTATCAGTCGAACAGGACATAGGTAGTCTTATTGCAGATATCTGGTACCATCATTGATTGCCCATTCGTACAATTTTCATCCCCTTTCATTGGGATCTGTGTCGGCATATAAACTCACGGACGAAAAGAAACGTCATCTCGCTTTTTTAACATGTCACAAAACAACAAACTCAGATTTTGGAAATTTAACAATCATATGTGGAAAATTAATGGATTTACAACATTCTGAATCATGAAAGTGTGAACTACAGATATGAATAATCACTTAGAGTACGATAAAGGATAAAAAAATCTTTCGCCCGTGAATTTATTAGAGAGCTATTATCCTATGGCTTTGGCGCTATGAAGACATGAAATACGTGACAAGTGTGACCGACTGAGAAATTGGAAGAAATCCTGCAACTCAAATGACGTACTGTGAGCAATTGGGAGGTTTGGAGTGAGTGAGTATGATTTAACGCCGCCTTTAAGCCGTATTTCCAGCAATATAAAGCAAGTCCTCAGGATCTCAGGACACCAGAAATGGGCTTCACACATTGTACCAATGTGGGGTTAGGTTTGGAGCTTTTGATCGTCACGTCGTACTATCATAACAATGGCACCAGTGTGGCCTCATGCTGGACCTCAAAATGGAAAAATTAAAGTTGTGTTACTGATAATAATCATGTTTACCTCCTGTGACCGAAACAATACTGTACGCGATTATTCCGTCGAGGCCGATGTCGTCATCAGTTGCACCAAAAGTCGTGATCACAAAACCAGGTTCTTTATCCTCCTCTACAGTCACCCCAGTAAAGGTTCCACTTCCGCTTTCCGGTGCTGTCCAAACTGGATCGAACTCGTTCTCTGGTTTCACGGTCACCCTGACAACAGCAGTCCCCGTATTAGACTCTCCGACGTCGGGCGTATCAACAGCGGTGATGACCAGGGTGTATACAAACCCTGCCGCTTCAAGAACCTCGTAGTCAGCGGCCGTAGCTGCTGTCTGAAGCTGCTGGCCGGACATTTTGAAGATACCTGCTCCTCCATCTCCGCTCACAACACTCAGGGTGAACACAGCGTTGTTACCGTCGTCCCCGTCAGACAGTGTCAGATCAAGTATGGATGTATCTGGACAACAACATCAACAATGCAATGACAATAGTGATGGATTCATTACATTCATGGAATGAATGAATGAATGAATAATGAATGAATGAATGAATGAAGAGATTAAGAGTGAATTAGGGAGTTGGTTTAACGTCTAAGGACTAAAGAAAATGGCGAACGCATCGGTTGAGAAGGGAGTAGATTTTGTAATTTCTTTACTCATATAATATGCTTCAGTGTCCAGTGTAAAGTGTCTTGTGCTTGTATTATGGCCAAGTCTTGCTAGTTTCGTGCTTTAAGCCAAAGTTCGTTCATGAAAGATTTGGGTGGAATACCCGCATGAGTACGATTTGTCCAATACGTGGTGTTCATCGTCGTTATGTTCCTGGAATATGGTATACATCTCGCCTTTAGCAAACAAACGTTGGCTTAAAGCACGAGGCAACCCGCTGTGCCCATAACACAAACCCTCGTATTAAATTATCTTGGAACAAAAGGCACAATACAACATATATAAGACAATATTTGATCTAAAAGGTATCAATAGTTTGCCCCAGGACGTGCCTGCAGCCATGTTTTCCGTGATCTCTGTTGTATATTCAGAAGGGTTGAATGTTGGCGGGAGATCGTTGATGTCCTCAACTGTAATGGTGAAGTCCTGGGTGGCTTGAAGTCCAGCGAGGTCAGTGGCAATCAGTGTAAGGGACAGAGAGGACATCCCTGACTCTCTGTCAACGTTCTGAGCTATAGACAACTCTCCAGAAGTAGAGTCTATCACTAAGTAGGCGCTATCTGCACCTGAGAAAAGAGTGGAGCCGTGATTCAAAGGACTACCATGTTATTAATGTTATTGTATTATCTCTGTGATGTCATTGTATAATATTGGTTTTGTGATCTCACAAACGTATCCGTAGGTCTAATGTCGTGAAGCAGTATTTCAACGTGTTAGCTGTTTGTGGAAGGACATCAATGGCTGTCAGATCGTAGATCCGAAACCCAAGAGCACTGGAACATTGCTAACGTACAATAATTCCAAGAACATACTTAGTTCTAAGGTATCAAATTGAAAACTGATAACTCTTTCTAACCAATCACATTCAAGCATTATTTGATGTCGTTCTAATATCCCTCTTAATGCTTACCGAAGCGAATAGTGAAAGAATAACACATTATTCAACAGATTACCTAGACATTTTCACAGATAGATGAATCAGAATGATGGAATGGCATTCAGAATTTGTCTTACTGTGTCCTACTTCTTTTACATGTTGTCTCCATATTGATTGTTATATGTTTTAGATCTTCATAAAATTATATATTTTAAACATGTCAAAGGTTTTCCTACCACTAAGAGAGTATGTCAGGGCGTCTCCATCGTCACCATCAGTAACGACATATCCACCATAGACTCCTGTCCCTATTGCCTGTTCTTCTGACATGGTGGCCGCTGCAACCATGGTGATGATGGGAACCTCATCACTGGCGTCTTGGACGTTGACTTGCACGGGAACATCTGCCTCGAAGACGCCATCACTGGCCCTTTACAAACATGACATGAATCGTTACTTGATTAAGTACATTCTAGTTTCAGACATTTGTTGTGAATGCAGTCACAAAATTTATTCGAGATTATTTCATGATCGAAAATATTCAGCAACTGTTCCAGACATTAACGACTTTTCATTGAAACCAGCCCCTTCAGCAGACTATTCTGAAAGGGTAACAGGGCTGCTGTATGTCATTGTACCCAGATTGCTTTCACTGATGCTCATGATGCTAATCACTAGATTGTCTGGCCACGATTCAAAGCTGCGCTACAAACAATATTTATATACATGTATATTACACATTATATATAATTGTGTACACCAGTAACATTTCCATGTATATATTCATTTCTGGTTATATCATATTCTTCCATTATCTTTATTGAGACAGCAAATGACATCTCAGATTCACTACCATGAACATACCTTATAATAAGCACATGGAACGTATTGGACTCGTAATCCAATCCACTTTTAATCCTGACCTCATTTCCAACACACTCAAACAGGTCATCCCGTCCGCTGGCCACAGACAGAGTCACTGCATCACCATCAAAGTCTTCAGTGTTGAGGGCGATCACTGCTGTACCAACTGCACTAGCTTCACTCACACTAGCTGTGTAGTCGGTTTGGTCAAAGGTCGGGGCGTTGTCGTTGACGTTTGTTAATGTAACAACGATGCTGCCATCCAGGGTCCGGGCTGTTGCTCCTTTGTCTGACGCCCTGACCACTACAGTGTAGCTACTTTCTCCGTTAGTCCCTGTGTCCACATCCAGCTCTCCTGCCACCATCAGTTCTCCTGTAGAGGAGGCTATGGAGAACTTGTCTGACGCTGAAGTCCCTGATGCTGTTGGAGGATAATGAAATAGTTACCTCATGGAAGGCGTTCATGGAATGCATATCCATTTAAATCTGCTGAGGCAAGAAGGACATAATGTGAAGCTAAAAAGTACTTTAACTTGGATCATGTATAATCACTAATTTTAGTTAGATATGTCTTTAGTTCGCATTTTAGACATTTCAACTAAACTACACAGCAAGTGGCAGGGACCAAGAAAGTAGTTCGTTGTATACGTTCATTCGTTATAAACGTGCTCGATATAAACGTAGTTTACGGTAACATATATTAGTGAGTGAATGAGTTTAGTTTTACGCCACATTTAGCAATATTCCAGCAACATCACGGAGGTGGGACACCAGATATGGGTTTCACACATTGCACCCATGTGGGGACTCGAACCCGGGTCTTCGGTGTGACGAGCGAACGCTGTTATCACTAGGCTACCCCACCGCCCCTCTTTACAAATGAATATATGTTGTAGTATAATGATAATAATTATGGTAAGTCGGGTAAACCAAACGCATTTCAGACTTTTACCATTGTGGAGCAACAGACCAACATGCGCATAGTAATGAAATACCTAGAAGTATAATCCGCCGGACCGGGATTCGAAACAATCCACAAAGGGACTTGCTGCACCCTAGACGACTTAGCCACCCGATAAGTAAAACAAGGGTCAAAATCTGTCCCAAGGCATATCTCCCACAATGGTGGGCTGTTGTTTATTATAGTATTTGGGCTTTAGCAATGTGATATTAAATAACAGAAAGACCAAGGTAACAGTTCCCTTTCACTCTCTATGTGCTTAGAGCATGTCCCTGAGTGATGTGGATGGGGCGTTATAAAGTACTCTTATTATTATTATTATTACAAAAGTAGTGTTAATATATATACATTTTCTTGTCTCACATACATATATATCCGTCTTTACAATTGTTCGAGCATACTCCTTGATCCTACATAAATCCCAAATGTGTGTTTGTTTGTTTGCTTGAAGGTGAATGTGTGTGGGCCGACGTGTGTGTGACAACACGCCGGTTGTCTGTTCCCACGTACCTGAAGTGACGGACACAATGGTGTATGTGACCTCCCCATCCACTCCAAGATCAGCATCAGTCGCCTGGAATGTTGTGATCACGTATCCCGGAGCTTCTCCTTCACTGACTGTATCTCCTACAAAGGTTCCACTTCCATCTGAAGCAGGTCCTGTCCATACAGGGTCGAACTCGTTCTCAGGTTTCACTGTAACCCTTACAATTGCTGTCCCCGTGTTGGGTGCCCCCTGGTCAGGCTTGTCCACTGCTGTGATGACCAAGGTGTACATGTAGCCTGATGACCCAAGAGCTTCATAGTCAGATGGGGTGGAGTCCGTGAGAAGCTGAAGTCCGTTCATTTTGAAGATACCCGCTCCACCGTCTCCACTGGCGACCGTGACGTCAAACAGAGCATTGTTACCCGTGTCCCCGTCAGAACAGGTTAGGTCCAGTAGCGACACATCTGCGATGGTGATTTATCAAAATGTATAAGAGGAAGTTGTAAGAGTCAGACATGGAAATCATCCGATGTAGAGCGTTAGGGATCACGAACTATATCTTGCACATTTGAAATCATAAAAGGAAGCGAAATTGGATCCATGGCGTGACAGCATACACTTTAACATTTTACTTCTTGAAAAGTAATGTTATTATTCCTATGTAGTTTGTTGTTTAGACTGCACTCAACGGCTGCGTACCTGCTGCTGCATTCTCTGTAATTTCCGCAGTGAACTCTGAAGGATTAAAGACCGGTGGCAAGTCATTGATGTCCTGTACCGTGATGGAGAAGGCCTGAGTAACCTGTTGACCCCCCTGGTCAGTGACGGTCAAGGTGAGGTCCAGCTGGGTCTTGCCACTGCTCCCTTCTCGGTTGACATTCTGGGCTACTGACAACTCCCCAGTGGCAGAATCAATACTTAGGTAACCACTGTCAGCTCCTGTTGTGAAGAGTGAAGAACGTCATCATGCGTGTCGCCCTTACATTATAACCACTATACCTTTCCCCTCGAACACCAACATTTCAAATATACATCATATACTTTTGACAACACTTTAGCTACTGAAGTGGAAATGGGAGAATCAATACTGAGGTAACCACTGTCAGCTCCTGTTGTAAAGAGTGAAAAACATATCATGTGTCTCAGACTTATGTATGTCGCCCTTGCGTTAGAACCACTATATCTGTCCCCTCGAAGACCGATATTTCAGATATATATAAAATACTTTTGATTACAATTTAGCAGAATCATTACTAATGTAACCACTGTCAGATCATGTTGTGAAGTGTGAAGATCACTAACATCATTTAGACACGTTTTCTTTGTGTGGAGTTGTACACAACTGCTTTGAGTAGGGGAGACCTGGGTCAATTGTAACATGGGGCAATTGTAACAAGGGGATTACTCTAAAAGTTTTCGCTCAAGCACAGTGTATGTGAGTAGTATTATTTCCCTTTACTTTCCTGCGGTACTCATCGAAGCGTTTTTCAGCTGCTTGCTCATGGCGAGATACAGTTGAGGAAACATCGTTTTTCATATAGGTAAATAAATTTTTCACGAAACGTAATAAAACGTTCTTAATGCAGTAAATATTGCTTGGTATGAAATTAACTTTTCAAGTGTAAAATTGAGGAAAAATTGAGGTATTACGACATATTTTGAAGTAGAAATATTTGAGAAGCCCAAAGTTGTTAACATGTGACTCGGCATGAAACATGGCTACTATCATCGGGGGCAATTGTAACACTGAGTTACAATTGTTACATGATAATGAAGCAAATTATGCTGAAGGTTTTATGTTAACTCTTTACTAACATTTCCATAGTGTTATGTTGATAGTATCAGTCATCAGGTGAAAGTTTTTGGTGTTAGTCTTTGTATTATATTTTGGGCATACCAATACAAGAATTTTAAACCAAAAACATTTTAAATGTCGATGGTGATAAAGGTTTAATGTTAATCCATTTTCACCTCAATTGATCAAGATAACATCTTTCAACATTTCATTTTGATTTTATTTGGAAAATAAACAAATTGTTACATTTGAACCTTTTTGTTACAATTGCCCGATCCACCTGTTACAATTGCCCTGTGCTAGGGGTCAATGGTAACACTTGCAGTCAATGCATTTGATACGTAATAACTTTGTAACGACATTATTGTGAACTTTAAATGACACTGAGGTTTAAAGCCAAGAAGCCAATGTACTAGTTATTACCGATTAACTTTGTGAGCGGTCGACTAGTATCGAATTACAAGAAGTTAAGAAGAAAAGTGTTACAATTGACCCCGGTCTCCCCTAATGCAGCACACAATTACCGCACCAACAGGTATGTATTGTATTACAATAAATAAGTCACAAAACTATTTCCTCAATCTTAAGAAATATGTACTTAAAGCATTGTCCTTTCCACCATACTGGCTATTTCAAAAGCATAAATCTTTCTTCATACCAGAGAGGGCATATGTCTGAGTATCTCCAGCATCAGGGTCGGTGACCAGGTACCCCCCATACACTCCAGTTCCTAGAGCCTGTTCTTCTGCCATGGTGGCTGTTGCTACCATGGTGATGACAGGATCTTCATCACTGACATCCTGGACCTTGACTTGGACGGGAACATCAGTCTCAAAGACACCATCACTGGCTCTGGAAGTGGATGTCATGCTTCAGGTTAAAGAAAGAAACAATGTCGAGAAATGTCCTTATGAAATCGTCTTAGATTTACGTCAATTATTCCCTGATGTCATCTTCCAAAAGAACAGGTGAACCCTGAATATGTAGGAATGGCGTACCTTATGATAATGGTATGGTACGTATCCGCTTCATAGTCTAAAGGGGCCTTGACCTTGACCTCATTTCCAACACACTCAAACAGGTCATCCCGTCCACTGGCTACAGACAGAGTCACTGCATCACCATCAAAGTCTTCAGTGTTGAGGGCGATCACTGCTGTACCAACTGCACTAGCTTCACTCACACTAGCTGTGTAGTCGGTTTGGTCAAAGGTCGGGGCATTATCGTTGACGTTTGTCAATGTAACAACGATGCTGCCATCCAGGGTCCGGGCTGTTGCTCCTTTGTCTGACGCCCTGATCACTACAGTGTAGCTACTTTCTCCGTTAGTCCCTGTGTCCACATCCAGCTCTCCTGCCACCATCAGTTCTCCTGTAGAGGAGGCTATGGAGAACTTGTCTGGTGCTGAAGTTCCTGATGCTGTTGGAGAATAATGTAATAGGTTCATTACAAATAAATAGATGTGGTGACACAGACAGCAGACAGACAGCTGACATGCCAAGCATGATTCTACTTAATTTGTGATTGAGTAATTTAGTTTAACGCCGCTTTTAGCAATATTCCAGCTGAAAATCCTGATGATGTCAAGAGATTACCCATGATTGATTGATAAATTATCAATCACTCAACTAGGATAAACTGGCATACTTGAACAAAGTGTGCAACAGAATGAAAGAATGAATATTCGGTTCACAGACTCCAAGTTCAGGAGAAATGATTTGTCGTAGATGGTAGATAAATGTGGACGAGTGACGGTTTGTCAATTGCAGAAGTGCTATTTTTATTTACACGTTACGTGTTTGCCTTATGTTCAGAAAAATGTAAAACGTTCAGTTGGTTGTATTAACCTTCAGCGATAACGATTTCGTTAGTGTGGCAGTGACGTAATCTCATATATTTGTTGGACTGCTTACAAATGCAAAAGATTCAGCAAATATATGGATGGATGAAACAACATACGACCTCACCAGCAGTGACTGACGCTATGCTGTAGCTGATGACACCGTCGTCACCGAGATCAGCATCAGTTGCAGTGAAGGATGTAACGGCAGTCCCTGGTGCAGCACCTTCACTAACTGTAGTCCCTGCAAAGTATGCCGCTGCCATCGGGAACTGGATTACTCCACACAGGGTCGAACTCGTTTTCTGGTTTTACCGTCACCTTCACTATCGCTGTCCCTGTGTTGGCCTCCCCCTGGTCTGGTGTGTCCACTGCTGTGATGACCAGGGTGTACATGTAGCCTGATGATCCGACAGCTTCATAGTCGGTAGGTGTAGAGTCCGTGAGAAGCTGAAGTCCGGACATCTTGAAGATACCTGCTCCACCATCGCCACTGGCAACCGTGACGTCAAACAGAGCGTTGTTTCCTGTATCTCCGTCAGAGCAGGTCAGATCAGCCAGCGATGTATCTGATATAAAAATATATTCACCAAAATTCACCAAGGTGGAAATAAAGCAATAGGGTTTGATTAAGTCAGTTTTCTTTTACACTGCAGATTGTGGTATTTCAGCTACATTTGAACGACCTGTGATACCTAGATGATCAAGACATAATAATATTAAAAACATCTTCCCTCATCTCCTTCGATATGCATGGTAGGATACTACAGAGCTATCATTCCACTATAGGGCCATATTGAATCTGTGTATCTGCCATACTGTAAGTATCACAAAAATACATTTCTACATACATAGAGAGGCGGTGGGGTAACCTAGTGGTTAAAGCATTCGCTCGTCATGCAGAAGACCCGGCTTCGATTCCCCACATGGGTACAATTAGTAAAGCCCATTTCTGGTGTTCCCCTCCGGGATATTGCTGGAATATTGCTAAAAAACGGCGTAAAACCATACCAGCACTCGCACATACATAGATATATGTACAATACTTGACAGTAAAACCAGACGTACCCATTAATTATATTTAGCAATGACATAACTTATAACCCTTAGTGACGTCATCTTATTCTTGTCAGGTGTATCCTGTTCGTAAGGAATATCCCATGTCGAAGGTATATTCTTCACAAATGCCTGCACATATAATTTGTGGTTGTACACATTTCATACAAGATACAAAATACTAATTTAGAGAAATATGCAGAATTGTGTAAATTAATACGAAAATAGTACTTATATGTCAGTGATTCTAACCTACAGCCTTTGTATTGGTAGCCTGATGACAGAACTATGCTAAAACACTTTAAATTGCATACTTAACTTTTTGCAAAATGGCCTCAAACGAATTAAGGTTGTGCTCTGCGTTTGAGCATGACAAACAAAACAATGTCGTAGTTTATTCATTGTTTTTCAAAATCTAGGAGCAAAAAGTCATAAACAACATCATCATGTGTTTTTTTCATTTCATCTGTGTATTAACAGTAGGGGCACTGATAACCCGCAATGCAATGTACGCCCGCAAGAGCAAAGGTTTGGAAATGTTTTGGAAACACCTGTAATACATGTTTCAAATGTTTCTTTCCTTTAATAAGTTGAAAATACCTCCTGCGCTGTCAGGAAGGAATGACATGCCCGTATTCCCAAGGCTTCTATTTCAGAGGATGTCAATACTGGGTATTCTTTTGCACTGACGTTATGTACATGTATTACATTTTCAGTCAAGACATTGAAGCTGGTTATATAATTCGTATACTGACTGAAAAGGCTACGTATACCTCCTGCAGTGTTTTCTGTGATTTCCACTGTATACACGGAAGGGCTGAAGACCGGGGGAAGGTCGTTGATGTCCTCCACTGTGATGGAGAAGGCTTGTGTTGCCGTGAGTCCTGACGTGTCAGTGACTGTCACAGACAGGTCAAGCTGAGTCAGTCCACTCTCCAGGTCAACGTTCTGGGAAACTGTCAGCCCACCAGTACTGGAGTCTATACGGATGTACGACGCGTGGGTCCCTGCAATATATAACCTGGCAAATATTCAAGTGAAAATATTCATGTAACCATTCGTATAATATGCACGAAAGATTAACCAAATGTAAAGATAGATTATAAAATACAAAATGTTTCAATTTGTTTTTTACTGTAGATGCAATGTCGCAATGCTGTCTAATTATTGTGTCCACGATTGGTACAATAGTGTCATCAGTGTCGTAACATTCATACTTTGCAAAATTGTGATGATTGACATATACTGACGAGCACAAAAAAATATACACCCTAAAATATTACAAACTTTATCAAACTAGGATGATCTGTTGTGAGAAGAAGAATGGAAGAAGAATTTATTCAGTATAAAGGCCACAGGCTCAAGTACAACAACGAGAATGCAAAATATATGTATATAAGTTGCTTTAGTTCGCAACATATGTAAAACATATACAGTACAACCAGAAATTATTGAGAATTTAAGATTGTAAGTTTTTATATATTTTTTCACTCATTACTCACGTATTAAATGTGAATATTAGCAGAACATAACTCCAGATTCAAAGACAGGTGAACAGTTAGTATTTTGTCAAGTCACCATGGGCAGCAATGCAGGCTTCAATGCGGCGGGGCATACTACTGATCAAAGAAGTTAGAAAGTCGTGGTCCATGCTGTCCCAATATCGGACCACCTCTTCTTTCATTTCAGCAATATTTGTCAGATTTTTCTTATTGACATTTTCCTTCATACGTCCCCAAACATTTTCTATTTGATTTAGGTCAGGGCTATAGCTTGGTCAATCTAATAATGTCATATTTTGGGTCCGAAACTAGGCCTGTGAATGCTTTGAACGATGTTTTGGGTGGTTGTCCTGCTGGAAAATCCAAATATTTCCATAGAACACGTGAGCAGATGGAAGTTAATGTCCCTCGAGAATATCTGTGTACCGCTCACTGTTAATATTCCCTTCAAATACACAGAGGGGCATTGCCCCTAACACAGATATGCCACCCCACACGTTAAATTTCGGACTGTACTTTGGGCGCTGATACAAAGGTTTTTCAGTTTGTTTGGTCCAGAATTTCAGTGTATTAGGAAACAGCCACTCAGAACTTTCATCTGAGAAAATCACATTGTCCCAATTAAAATTTCTATGCTGTAAGCACCAGTTCAACCTTCGGTCCTTTTGTTCAGGTTTCATGATCGGTGATGGAATTCCTCGACTTTTCTGCCTACCAATTGCATGCAGCTCAGTTCTAATTGTCTCCTTACAGACAGCCACTGTTCCTCTATCAATCATATCCAGCCTTAAGTTTCTAAACTCCTTCGTTTGTTTTTAGCAACAAGAACACCAAGCCGCCTCCTGTCACCGACAGTCAATTTTCTGGGCCTACCTGCACCTCTCTGGTGCTCAATGCCATATCCATTTTCAATATTTTTCAAAACACGATAAACAGTGGACAAAGGGATGCCTGTTCTACTTGAAATAACTTTAGCTGATCTGATGTCCTTTGTTATAATACTCTAAAATAAACTTCCTCTTCTCTAAATCATCCATACTGAGGATCACTGAAACTGTCGTCTGCTAGCAAGTAAACAAAGGGGGATAACTCTTCACAAACTAATGAAAAAGGATTTACGGAGTTGTCTTTCTTGAATGAAACCAAGCACTTGATAGCTGGTCAAGGTTGTTTATACTAGAAATCCAATTAAACATATTCCTTCTCAATAATTTCTGGGCATACTATATTTCAGAGCAGCTACGTACATATACATTTACAGTAATGAGCAACGTAACATGAAAGCTTCTTTGATAAAGTTTGCTTAAAGTGCTATAGAATTAGTTTTTGCATTATAAAAACGATTTATTAGACAATCGTTATTTACATATTCAATGTCTATCATATATTTTAGTCGCAACCTAGCATTCTGGACATTCTATCATGAAATGTAACTCATCTTCTAAGATATTCTTTCAAAATGAGATACTAGTACTCATTGATATGATAAACATAACTAATCACCCAATCGAATAACCAATTCTTTTTGCTTCATATTTAATCGAGCATCAAACAGTGACTTTGCAATTTAAAAAATAATTAACAGCAATATCTACAGGACACAATATGGAAGTATGCGATTGATCTTCTAGGTGACAGTCAGCAATATTTACGCTGTGTTACATGTTTTTTCACAAAACTGAGTCAGGAACAGCGAAACAGACTGACACAATGAAAAACGGCAACATATTGTTAGCATCCCATATTCCTTTCAGAATGTTGTTTTTTATGGAAAACTAGTAAATCTACCCCGGTATTTCAACAAATGGTTTCACACTAAAATATCATCCATGTGGGATTAGAACCCAGGCCCCAGGTCGGCGTAACGGCTCGGCTACCACATTGCTGGCAGATCATTTTAGCTTACCACTAAGAGCATATGAATGTGTGTCTCCCTGGTCGGGGTCGGTAACGACATATCCTCCATACACAGCTGACCCGACAGCCTGTTCCTCTGCCATGGTGCTGCTGGACACAACGGAGATTACCGGAGGCTCGTCCACGACATCCACAATACTGACCTCTACCGATACATAGCTGTCGTGAGTTCCATCCGTGGCCCTGAAACATAAATAAATATTCTGTAGACGGTCACTCTTCAATCTTTATCCAATATAGGGAGAACAATGGTGGCCAGGTCGTCTAAGACAACACAATTCTGTATGTGGAGTTCTGTCCCTTGGACACACAAGCTACCTATTATTGGCAGTTCAATTTCACTTGGTCCCGATTACGTGTCAAGGTCTGTCGTCACCAACATCCGTGCTGGGTGTTTAAGCCAAGCGATCATATACCCGCATCGCTTCGACCTCACCACCCAAGTGATCGAGTGATAAACACATTCCCATGATATAGATGGAATTGTACAATCGACTCTGATTTCAGCAGATATCTCATATGGATGTGGAAATGATCTTGTCGCTTTATCAATATGGAGAGGAATGAACACTTTGGGATCTTATGTGAATATACATCTATATAAATGTAGATATAAATGCAGATACTGATACAGAAACACGTGGCGACCCGGTCAAATGTCCACCCTCGGTGTGATATATGGTGGTCAGCACCGTGCAGGTGCTCTTAGTTTTACAGAAGTCATAAACCTCATGGGTCAGCATCACTCCAACATGAAGCAGGGTGTTAGGATCACCTCGAGGTTCAGACTTTCGCTTGAACTCCAGGAACGAATCCACACAATGTGTAATGCCCATTTGCTAAGACCGAAGTGATATTGCTGGAATGGTGTCGTGCCGGGAAGGCTAAAATCTATTTTTCAGATGTCCCGGGAAGGCTATAATGTATATTTCGGATTTCCCGGGAGAGCCAATTTCCACGGTTATTATAATTAAAACCTATTCCGAAATATGTAAACGTATCGACAACCTCCAGGACACAACCATTATATATAACCAATGTTCTGACGATTTAACTTTACCAACTCTTCTGAAGACCAATATTGTCTTTGTTTTAGCAATATTTAGTTCAAGTTCCCATCGTCTGGAATAACCTGACAACGAATTCAACTGTGTTTGCAACTTTTCTACAGATTCAGAAAATATAACAAGATCTTCAGCATACATAAGCAGAAACATTTTTAAAGATTTATACTCGTAAGGCATACATTTATATTTTAGGAAAGACTCCTCAAAATGAATTATCTAATGTCGAATTAAAGAAAATGTGTAATGAAGAATAGACGTGAACATGTGTAAATAACTTTATTTATATTCTTATACCGGTATGTGCCCAATTTAAAGAGCGTCCCCGTTAATCCTGTGTTCTTTGTTATATGTCAGAGCCTCCGAATGAGGTGCGACGTGTTCCGAATGAGGTGACGTGTTCATTCAGCCATAACACTGCATTGCAATTACCGCGAAGGCTACGCTCATTGAACCGAGAAGCGTCACGATTTTAGGCTTCCCGGCCATGAACCGCTGGAATAGTGATTAAAAAGAACGTAAACCCCACTTTACTCACTCGAATATGAAACTTGCATTCTGTGACAACTGAGAAATAGCTCAATAATGTGTTACATCACTCATTCACTCCTGTTAATCATAGTAGTCGAATATTTTAAGTAATCATTCACATGACGTTAAAAAATGAAAGTAAGTGTATAAGATTTAAACTTCTAAGAAGTTATTACTTTATTATAAGCAGGTGCGTATCCTTGGTCTCATAGTCGACGGCTGAGGTGTACTTCAAGGAATCCCCGTCCATTGTGAAATGACCGTCCCCGCCACTGTGTATGGAAAGTGTGACGGAGTCGCCGTCGTGGTCGTTGGCGGTGATCTGCGTGACGACGGAGTTCAACGTACCGCCCTCGGACAGAGATGCTTGGATAATGCTGGCGTCGAAATGGGGAGCGTTGTCATTGGCCCCGGTCACCGTTACACTGACGCTGCCGTCGACGTACTTTGGACTGGTTCCCTTGTCCCAGGCTCTGATGCTAATGGCGTAGCTGCTCACCCCGCCGGTGCCGGCGTCCGCGTCAAGCGCTCCCCCTACCTTCACTTGACCAGTTGAGTCGACCGTAAACAGGCCCGTTCCGGAAGCTGTTTACACAAAAGGAAATGAAGACATTCTCATTTTGTTTTAAGTATTCACACTGAATACATTTCTTGGTTGAGGGACAAAAATTTGACATCCTGGGGATGAGGCGAGGTCTTGTATGAGACAGGATAATTTGTTTTAAATTTCTGCTTCCAAATACGCCAAACAATTCATTTTTTAGTTACATATATTTATTCATTAACCCCAAGCATTATCCGGTACAAATATCAGGACAAATGTGAGTTTCTAGAACATTATAAAACCTCAGTCACCAACGAATATAAAACGGTTGGCCTCTAATATGTTACATGTGGCATGTATATCTAAATATATAGATAGATTATGCTATTATTGCATTATATGCATTTTTAAAATTACTTCTATACATTGTGCAACTAATACTACATTTTATCTCATTAGAAAATAATTGAGGATTACTGAAATATAGAAATACTGTATTTAATCTGGATATTTGCAATTCAGTTATTAAATATTCAGCCATTAACCATGTAATAGAATACCTTTAGTTAAGCATGTCTATATCAATTCTACGCATTATCAAAACAAATAAATATACATACACTGAATATCTTTTTGATGATATCGAAACTATCCACACATACTGTATATACACTGAACTGAATTTACTAGTATGTTTGCTAGATGAAAATATCTAGATAGTATTAGTGTTTACAATGTAAAACATTATCTTACTAAATATGATTCAGCTTATGACATAAAAAATAACATATTCCGAAGAGCAAATTCCTGAAAAGATAAGAGAAGCGGTTTATCACATGAAAAGATACATCAAAGAATTATTTTATCATAAATAAATTGTCCAATTAACCACAATAAAGATACTATCAAATAAATGATAATTCACAATCATGTTCATAGAAGTCTAACTTTAAATATAATGGAATGCATTTAAATCTGCTGAGACAAGAAGGGCATAATGTGAAGCTAAAACTAATTGAACTTGTTTCATGTATAACCACTAATTTTAGTTAGTTATGTCTTTAGTTCGCAGTTTAGACATTTCAACTGAAATACACAGCAAGTGGCAGGGACCAAGAAAGTAGTTCATTGTATTCGTAAGTTCGTTATAAACGTGCTCGATATAAACGTAGTTTACGGTAACATATATTAGTGGTTGAGGGTGTTCAACGATAACAGTAGTAATTGATTCAATGTAGCATAAGGAGAAGTCGAAAGTGATTTGCTTACAGAAGGCTGGCATCCTCGGTCACCCAAAGCACTTCATTTCCATACTATCATGATAAACACCGCTTCGCTACTGTTCACTTCCTTCAGGAACTGACATCAATGTCACGGACATGAATTGCAGTGCAGAGACATTCGAATCGGAGAGGTAAGGAGAATCTAAGACATAGCTATACTTTCATGTCCAACATGTTATAATCAGCACCTTCAATATATTATATGGTAGTCTGTTTCACAGTCCCTGAACCACATTATTTCCCCCAATGCCAAGCCTTGTCTACAGTGCTAAAGCCCTAAATATAGCAAGTCTAGATGACCTCAGGTTCAGGAATCTGAATCTCGGGTCTCCCTTGGGCTCCTTTTCAATTTAAATGGGCTTGTTTGTTACTATCAAAATTATATATATTCAGAGACTAAGCATTAGTCTAATTATATGGGGAAATGTAGATAAATCATTACGCGACCATTTTTAAGTAGTTAACTATAATTTTAGAGATGCCTGTTTGCGCCTAACATGAGCCCAGTCGCATTACAGGATTTGGTCACCGTTGCTATCATTCGAGTCAAACTCAAATAAAGGAACGGAAGCGTTTGGCACACAACAGAATGGAGATAGTTCTGAACAGGGTAATCATGGATGCCTTACAGGGATACACGGAGGTAATCGTATATATTATTTGGCCATCCGATCCGAGATCCGAATCTATCGCCTCAAGCTGAGTCACAACTGTCAGAAAATGATTGTTCTCGGAGATTTCAGCCGCTGGTGTTGGTGTGGACAACCAGGACGGGACATGCTCGTTTTCTGGCTCAACCTGAAACATGCCAAAATTCAAATGTACATATGTTTATAATTCATGTTCAAAATTGTTTATAAGGTAATTGTAGTTGAAAGGGTTTATGTCCAGCTTCCTTTGGAATTTTAACTCACTATTATTAACATATAACTCTAAACAAACACGGGTATCCAGAAAGTAATAGCCCTTAACGTTGTTTGTTAATGTACCTAAGGAGACCGGGAACAGTCATGTTTACTGTAATCTTTATCATTATCTTTATGTAATGAACGATATTTATATGACAGTAAATGCTAGTGATAATAAGAATGTTTCATCTGATATGAAATTCGATGTTCGTAATACTATTGTTTTCCTGGTATTAAATCCCATGCACTGTTTTCTTGGTATTAAATCCCATGCTCCTAATAATTTTATTATTTTCTAATTTCATGCAGTAATAAAAATATATTTCTGATATCAAATTCGACGCTCGTAATAATAGTATATTTCCGATAATGATTGCATTGACAATGTTCCTACTCACCGTGATGCGGACGACGGCCGTTCCTGTGAGAGGGTCACCTACTGGAGGACTGTCCACTACCGACACCACCAGGACATACTGGAAGTTAACACCTTCTAGAGCTTCGTAGTCCAGGGTGCTGGCAGTGTTGATGTCGTTGCCACTGATGGTGAAGTCAAAACCAAAGGTCGCCCCATTCTGGGACAGGATTGATGTTGTCAGACCAGCATTGGAGATGTCGGCATCGGTCACTCCCACAGTGACGGCCGTGTGACCTGTAAGACATTTTCAAATGTCGAGATAATCCTCAAAAACAATTTGGACAAGTGTACTCGACTGCCTAGTTGTTTCTTGTAAACATGCTTAAACCAAAGTCTAAATATAGTTGGTATAATTTTCTTATTTGACATATCATGTGTTATTACAAATTATTACTGAAAATAATTAATTATTTAATTATTATTGTCTGCCAAGGTTTCCTGGCCTCAATGAAAACATAACTTCATACGAGTTGACCTCCAGGGGTTTTGGGACGCCAACAGTGAGAGCAAGTATAGACCTCGTGTATGTTAAACCACTCACCAGAACCAGTGCCATCGTAAACCTCGGCGGTATAGTAATCAGACGTGAAAGTGGGAGCGTTGTCGTTGATGTCGATGATGGTGATGTCTAAGACCTTGCTGTCATAGTTGGAGGCAGAGTCCATCACAACTATGTTGAGGCCGCTGAAGTCCACAGACGTCGTGTCGATGTCAATCACCTCTTTCATCGTGACGGTGGACGCACTATCCACATTCAGGTATTCCGCATTTGTTCCTGGAAGGATTCTAATGAGTGAGTGAGTGAGTTTAGTTTTACGCCACACTCAGCAATATTCCAGCTGTATGGCGGCGGTCTGTAAATAATCGAGTCTGGACAAGGCAATCCAGTGATCAGCATCGATCTACGAAATTGGGGTAGATGACATTTGTCAACCAAGTCAGCGAGCCTGACCACTCGATCCCGTTAGTCGCCTCTTACTACAAGCATGGGTTACTGAAGACCAATTCTAACCCAGATCTTCACGGGTAGGTTATGCCTCTGAATGTTAGCGTGCTTCTCTGGGGAATTTCTCCTTTGGATGTCAGAATGCGCTGAAACTTCCAGGTATTACAACAAGAATTGACTACTTATTCATTTCGGAATGTCGATTAACAGACAAAATATTTATATAAGAGTTATTAAAATAGAAATAGAGTGTGAGACTCAAGATATTCAAACAGCTCATGACAATATGTGGTATGTGCTATCCATGCTATATGCAATGATTTAATATTTTGTAATATTATCTCCGAATATGAAATTTGATCCCCTCAATAATATACCATATCGTACATAGATTTCTCTACTGTCCCGTAACGTCACGTCAGTATGAACGTTACATGGTCAACTGATAGATATATGTCCACCTACCCGTAAAGGAGAAGGTCCATGAATCATCATCCTCGTCATCTGTGAATGTGAAGGCTTTACCAATGTCTGTCCCCAAGGGTAACTCTTCTGGGATGGAGATTGAATGAATTGTAACAACAGGAGCGACGTCAATGACGTTGGTCAACTTGATGATCAAAGACGTGTTCTCTTGGTTTCTTCCATCGTCAGCTCTGTATGTATTAAGTACACGTTATTCATATTACATTAAACAAAATCATATTTAAATATTATGTTCGCCATTCAATACAATATCATACATATATCTTGAGACATAATCAGTCATCGATTGTTATCTGAACAATACGAATGTATCTATATATCACCCAAAGATCACAAAATATTTAAACATATTTTATTAGAAACTCGACATAAAAATAATCTGTTCCAGAAACACCCCAATTTGGATTTATACGTTGTAAATTGGTACGCATTCGGCTAATCAATCAGAAATAGGTTATTCCTGAATAGTAACTTGTGATCTTCTTAAATAGATACATAATGCTACCACACATCAAATTTTCTTCTCATTTCAAACTGTTCTAAACCTATAAATGGAAATGCAAAATGCTACATTTACAGAACCATACAGTCTAAGGCGGTTAAAAGTAAACATTTAGATTTGTGCAGCAATGACAAATATACAATATTACGATCTTCCTAAGGCCTATAGGACCAACATTAAGTTAGTCCATGTCAAGTCTAAAAGTAAAATAAGCATATTGACTTATGAGCCTCTACAACACCCAATGTTTGTGGTAAGAGCATGATCAGAAGTTTGGGCTTTGAATATACTTGTGTGTTATCTCACGTACTGGAATGTGACCACATAGAAGTTTTCTGTTTCATAGTCCAAGGCCTGCATCGTGTACAGAATTCCAGAATAGATCTCAAACATGTTTATGTTGTCACCAGTAGATGTCACGGTCACTGTATCTCCTTCCGGATCTGTTGCTGCGGGGGTGTAGATGGGTGTGTACTGGGCGGTATCCTCAGATATCTCAAGGATGTCATATCCCCCAGGTGCTGGTAGGTTGAACAACGGAGGCTCATCTGTAACATCCAACTTAGGATGAAACTGCCTCTAAATAGATATGATCATATCGTCACTTTGTGTTTAGAAGGACCGCTGTTCTATGACTCCAGGTCAGTCAAGACGACATAAGGCGAAAAGTGACGTGTGGCAGGATAATGCTAAAGTATATAATTGTCCTCTCTGTCCTCTGAAGTGGTCTTGCTGCGTTGGTTACCGATACACCACATGGTGAATTAATGGTCAAACATTCCATGAGGAGAGAAAAAGAAGTACATCGCATGTTAAGGAGACTATTTTGATATCGCTGATATATTGGTATCTCTATATACATGTATATAATATATTGGCATAAAACAAGATAGACAGAGACAGAGTCAAAAGATGTTTATTGTATGAAAGGCCTCCGGCCCATAAACATGAGAGTTACAGTGATAAAGGAATATTTTGGATATTTACATATATATTTAAGGTATACAATTCGTTTTATATGATCTCATTTTGCTAATGCATGCTTTATATACAAAAACAATTGAACAAGAATAAGTTCATTATTACTTTGTAACAAATATATATTCACATAGGGCTTGTTCTGTAACAAAATGGTGTGGTATATATTTCTGTCTGAATTCATAACAAGGACATATCAGTGTAAAATTAATTTCATTTTCTATCCCTACGTTACATAAAGGACAATATCGACTTTCTTTCTCGACAGAGGTTTTTCTATCCTCAATTATCATTAAAGATAACAAACCTAAACGACATTTTACGAACATTGTTCTTAAACCAGTGTTGTATTTATTGATAAATATTTTTTCTGGGTGGAGTAACGTTTCATAAACCTGTTCACATCGCCAATTGACTGGCACAACCATATGAAACCGAAACCGTGAGAACATTTCTGATATCCGTTACCCAAGTATGTTTTCCCAAATTATCAGGATTTAAAAGCATATTGTAAGCTAATGTTGGCAGACGTTGTTCGTGCATATTCAGAATCTTTATTCATCAATATATTAAACGTCTTATTTAAGAATTAATGCACAAAAGAAATCTGCCACATTAACCATATACCATGCAGTTAGGTGTCTTAAGGCTTACAGTGAGATACTTTTCTTTTTACAGGCTAAAAGATGAACTCTCTCTACACAATCGAAACGAGGAAACCCTATATTTCAGATCCATATAATAAAATGGGTTGAATCTGAGTATTAATTATCTTAAAAATACACATTTGAAATGATGACATGGTTCATCCCTTTCCTTTTTGAGGATTCGGGAATCTTCTCACACATGTTAGCCCAGTTTGATAGTCTGTTGTTCAATGTCAACGTAAACACTTTCCCCCAGATACTCTGACTGACTGAGTTTTGGTTTTACGCCGCTTTTAGCAATATTCCAGCAACATCACGGCGGTCCCAAGATACTCATTAATGATATAAAGGGATAAAGGTTACCTAAAGAAACAAGGAACATACCTGTCAACCACCGCCATTCCCCAGTCACATGGCTTTGTGACGTCGCCAGCTGCACAATATTGATGGGGAATGTTCTTCCAAGGTCATACGTCAGATAGGTGTCAACCCCTGGCTCCAGACCAAACCCCATGCTATGGACATTCCCTTCCCAAGAAAACCAAAAGGGTTTCCAAGTACTGCAATCCAAAACAGTTCCAAACTCCCACGTGACGTAGGAACTTCCATCCAACATGGCAGTGTAGGAATAGCCATAGTAAATCTGGTAGAGGACAAAGTTGTTCTTGTCAGAGTCCTCATTGAGATAAACCTCCAGACTTTCACAAGCCTTCGCTTCTCCTCTGATGTACGACTTGTCGATGGGACCAAGACCTTTGTTGTATGCCTCCAAGTAGTCATAGTTCACGTCAATGTATGTCCATTTACCTAGAGGAATGATAATGGATATAAATAATATATAATAATGTTATTTGTTTTTCTAGTTTTAGGGAGTTCTTGGTGGGTTCAGCAAAGCAGCACTTAGAAGGAGGAGTCCATAAGACATCGTGTTCAATGGACCCAGAGCTGATGATCAGCCTAAAATGCCTGACTCTGCCAGAATCACCAGAACCTTTCTTCCTGAATTTGGGTAACAATAATACTTACCTGATAAGACTGGTGCTGGGCTGCACAGTACAATGATCAGATACCATGAAACCAGATGCACTATCATGTTTCAGCTCAGGAAGTCTGAAAAGAGAATCGACTGATTATGATTTTGAGGTAAAGCTTTCAGATATATTGAACAAAGACAACCCTTGATAAGCATCACCACAGATCATACAACACAACGTGTTTCATAGAAAAGTCATCTTAAACTTACAATATATAGTAAACTGACCTCTTAAAGGTGTAAAAAATGGAAAGTTTGAACTAAACGACTCCACGTTGATGTGAAATAGTTCAACCCAGGTAACGTGGCGCTTCCATGCACAAGTGAGTTGTAGGTTTCACGTCAGAGTCTAACACACAGAAGCCAACTGTAGACATGTGTGACCGATCATTATCCGACATGCCTCTACTTTTGACACATGACACATGATATTTCACCTTTGTGAAAAACAAAAGTTAACAAAGCATTTGAAAAAAGATAAAACACGATGACACTGGAGGACTTGTAGACAATACATTCCGAACAAGAAACACCCCCTCTAAGAACATCAAAAGCATTCAGTACTCTGCTTTGGTGAAAGAGTGAAAACATATACAGTCGTTAACAATAGCCTGAATAGTTTCTTTGTCTAGAGACGTTTTACTTCACGAGATCAACAGGATAATTACTGCAACCCAGGAAGATTCTTCCAAAATGCTGTATGGGTTAACTACTATCATTATCTTGACACCACTGTTATAGATGTATACTTCTCTAAAGAACTTATGCAACACCCATATCTATTTACAATGGCATGGCTATTGCCAAATAGGGTACTCTTAAATTTCTTTTAAGCAGTATATAAAGGGAATGTAAACGGGTCGTTTAATTGTCCTCATAGATTTCGAAATAAGTTAAAACAGACTAATAAAGGGTGCTTTGCCCGAGGACATTTTTGAAGTCATATTTTCATGAACGTATCCATAAAACAGTCGTCACACGTCACGAAAAATATCCTGTAAACGCTAATGATAGCAACGCTGGTACTTAAACGAAAATGGGACACAGTTTCAATTAAAGGCGCAACGTACTGGCTACGATTACAAGTGAAAGGGTTATGGATAAATTTTGCACAAAAATGTAAACATATACTGGTTAATCTGAAATCTCACATCACAGTATCCTACCTTGTATATTGTTTTCAGGATCCATGAGGAGGTGAGTTGAAGACTGGGACACCCTTTGCTACTTGAGTAAATATATTATTAGCAATGATTTCGATGAATAGAAGACATCTGTACAACAATCAGATTGGATACAGCATTAAAGGTAAATGCATCTGCACTCTCATTAAATCCATATTCATAAAGCTCTGGGATAAAAACCTTTACAGTACAAAATCAATCAATGCTTACAATAATGTAAACTTACAATCTTATATTCTTCCTATACTGAACTTTAGAGTCTTTAGACGAATATAAGATAAATGTTCGATTCAGTGGACCTACACAATGGCGAATCCAGGATTTTGGAGAAGGGGGATGCACATACGCACACACACACCCCTCTGGATCCGCCCCTGCTGCAAATGTTTACTGATGAGGTGATAGGATCTGCCATACGTTGTCTGCCATACTGTTGGAATGACTTCGTTTTAGGGAATATGATGTACACACTATAGCTGAAACACTGTTAAAGCGACGAAAAAGCGCTGCTTTCTCAATCACTCCCTGCTATGTTTTCGAACCAACTGTACTAATGCAAATTCTATTCCATTTCGATACCATATGTACTTTCTTCAGGATCAACAACTGACTTGCACTTCGTGACGGGTGTTCCCATTTGGTCAGGGCACACCAAGCGAACACATGGTATCAAATTTACTTGATAGTGATTTAAGAACAGATGTTATAATACAGTCTGAATCGTACAATGAAGTCTGCATCAAATGTGGTTCTTATGCATATGGAATTGATTTCTATGCTTTATATATACACTTTGTTAAATTACAATGGTATACGAAATCTAGTATGTACAATCGATCCGTGAAGGTCCGGGTTAGATTTGGCCTTCAGTAACCCATGCTTGTCGTAAGAGGCGACTAACGGGATCGGGTGGTCAGGCTCGCTGACTTGGTTGACACATGTCATCGGTTCCCAATTGCGCAGATCGATGCTCATGCTGTTGAACACTGGATTGTCTGGTCCAGACTCGATTATTTACAGACCGCCGCCATATACCTAGAATATTGCTGAGTGCGGCGTAAAACTAAACTCACTCACTCACTTACTAGAATGTACATTCAGAGGATATACGTCAGATGTATAAAAATAGGACAGAGCGTTAATAGTTTTGAAACGATTCCAAAGGTGGATAGCTCGATTCAAGACAGCAAAACAAAGCAACTGGTTCTGATTACACTAAACTTACATAGTGAACCAGAACATTAAGCAGGCAGGTGTCACAACACAATTATACAAACACCATGAAGCAAACACAACATGTTATTATAAATCTCACCAGAATCAATGAACAACACAAAAACAAACTTCGATGTTAGAAACAAGTGAAAATCAAGGTTAGAATTGGTCTTCAGCAACCCATGCTTGTCGTACGAGGCGACTAAGGGGATTGGGTCAGTCACAGAATTGACTGCACCAAGCCATATTATATTCAGAACTTGCCGTCATGTAGCTTGGATGTATCTGAGTGCGGCGTTAAAACGGCAGACAAAAACGAACACGCACGCACGCACGCACACAGCCACACATTTACATATGTAGTGAAACACAAAACACGCTATAAAAATGAAAATCACACAAATCTTACTCGGTGTAACGCTTAGTATGGTGTAAGTGATTTCTCCGTCCAGCCCCAGGTCGGTGTCGGACGCCTGTAGTGTTGTGATGACCGTGGTCACTGCGGTGTCCTCCTGGACTGTTGCGGAGTAAGATCCCGTACCAGCCCAGGTCGGGGAGTTGTCATTTGCTGGGTTTACCTGATACCAAACACGAACATGAACGTTATGCCATTGAATGGGTACCGTGTGTAAAACCCATTTCTGATGTTCCCCGTCGTAGTGCTGAAACATTGCTTAAAACGGCGTGAAACCATACTCTCTTTCTGATGTGCTTTTTCTTAATTTGACGAAATGTGACTAGTAATTTCAGCACGCCGATTGTCAGCTTTATCATTTCATGCAATGACATTCAAAGTTTTGTGTTGTAATCCGGAAAGGGGTCTCTTTTAACAAAGACGTCTACGATCTCACCAATTTGCGTGGCCGAGTTAGGTTTTTCGGGTGGGTTCGGGTCCCTTTTAACTCTGATAATGTTTCGAGGTCTTTTATCACTTTGCGTGTACTCGTGGATTTCACTAGTGGCCCAGTCACCCTACCAAAGGTTTTCACCATGTTCCTACTCACCGTGATACGGACGACGGCCGTTCCTGTGAGAGGGTCACCTACTGGAGGACTGTCCACTACCGACACCACCAGGACATACTGGAAGTTAACACCTTCTAGAGCTTCGTAGTCCATGGTGCTGGCAGTGTTGATGTCGTTGCCACTGATGGTGAAGTCAAAACCAGAGGTCGCTCCATTCTGGGACAGGATTGATGTTGTCAGACCAGCATTGGAGATGTCGGCATCGGTCACTCCCACAGTGACGGCTGTTTGGCCTAGAAATTGTAATAACATTCTGAAAAACCACAACGCCATCTCCTGTATACAATGTCGGTTCTCTGACTGAACTGTGAATGTCTCTCCGGAATCTCTGAAATCTCTAAAATACATACATACATACATACATACATACATACATACATACATACATACATACATACATACATACATACATACATACATACATACATGCATGCATGCATGCATGCATGCATGCATGCATACATACAACTATTTATATAGCGCTAGTTTCTGGCATCTGCCACTCAAAAGCGCTGGAAATGAGAAAGACATTGGTCAAGTTCGGTAGGCAGCACTGAACAAATGACTTTTCAGATGTGACTTAAATGCTGGTAGATTCTCTTGCGATCTCAGGTGCATAGGTAGACTGTTCCACATTACTGGACCAGCTTTTGCGAATGAACGGTCGCCAAATGTCTTTTTTCGGGTCGTTGGTACCTCCAAGAAATACTGGGAACCAGACCGTAAGCATCTGGGAGGGAAGTGTCTTTTAAGAAGATTTGAAAGGTAGCTGGGGGCAAGTCCATTCACACACTTGAACACTAACAACAGTAATTTGGACTGGATCCTATATCTGACTGGCAACCAGTGTAGTACAGGGGTGATGTGGTCGTATTTCTGGTGACGGGTTATCACCCTCGCTGCAGTGTTCTGCACACGCTGAAGCTTGCCAAGTAGATGCTCAGATGTTCCAAACAGCAGCGAGTTGCAGTAAGCAAGTCTCGACGTGATGAAGGCATGGATAAGAGCTGAGGTGGTCTTGACATCGAGATACCTCCTGATCATGCTGATATTGTGAATATGGAAGTACGCACGCTTGCAGACGTTATTGATATGCGATTCCATGTTCAAGCACGAGTCGAATATCACACCCAGATTCCGGGCTTCCTTGCTTACAGAGATCGCACAATCACCAATGCAGAACTCTGGAAGGGAGAGGGAATTTTTATTTCGTTTCGAACAGAATACTAGAAGCTCTGTTTTTTCTCATTCAGTTTCAGGAAGTTAGAAGTCATCCATGTCTTGATGCTACCGACACACTGCTGAACTGACTCAAATGTGAGATCGACTGATGACTTGTCCAGTGGTTTAAATGCCATGTAAACCTGTGTGTCATCAGCATACAAGTGCAGGCCCAGCTTGTAAGATCTCACAATAGCAAGAGAGGAAGTGTAGATTGTGAAGAGGAGAGGACCTAGTACGGATCCCTGTGGGACACCAAATGTAAGGTTCTTGGCACTTAATATCTCTCCATCTATCTGTTGTCTGCCAGATATGTAAGATTCCAACCATTTCAATGCGACTCCATCGATGCCAAACGTACCTTCATTCCCAGAGCTCATGTGAGGTGCAACCTACCGGCGCGACACTCTTCACTCAACTGTGTCGAAAGTTCAACTGTCAAATCTTCAAGACCTCATCAATGACAAAGATTCGATACGATATTTTGTAGAGCACATTTTCAATGGTTCATATTAAGATGGCTGTTTCTATGAAGTGCCTGAAAATGTAAAAACACAGTAACTAACGGGAATAACAAGACCTTCCAAATAAGCTGTTTCTTCATCCACTCACCAGAACCAGTGCCTTCATCAACCGCAGCGGTATAGTAATCAGACGTGAAAGTGGGAGCGTTGTCGTTGATATCGATGATGGTGATGTCTAAGACTTTGGTGTCATAGTTGGAGGCAGAGTCCATCACCACTATGCTGAGGCCGCTGAAGTCCACAGACGTCGTGTCGATGTCAATCACCTCTTTCATCGTGACGGTAGACGGACTGTCCACACTGAGATATTCAGCGTTTGTTCCTGGAATGTAGTGAGTGAGTGAGTGAGTGAGTTTAGTTTTACGCCGCTTTTAGCAATATTCCAGCAATATCACGGCGGGGAACACCAGAAATGGGCTTCACACATTGTGCCCATGTGGGGATTCGAACCCGGGTCTTCGGCGTGACGAGCGAACGCTTTAACCACTAGGCTACCCCACCGCCCTCCTGGAATGTAGAGAACGTGCTCTGTGTTTTAATAAGGCATAACGATAGAAATCCTCTCACATGAAACTTAGGCAATGGCGATATGGACACTTTATTGTATTTTATGCAGTCGGCAGCTTGGTTCCTGGAGATGACAAGATTATATGGATGATCACCTTCGAATTTATTTTGACAATGGCGGCGTTTCGGTATAGATTCTTATACCGTTTTCAAGCGTTTCAAAACCGTATACGAATCTATACCGAAACGTGTCCCTTGTCAAAATAAAGACGTGGATCATCCATAAAGTCGAAATACCAACTTCTAGAATGCCACTCAAACAAAACTTGGTTCCTGAGCCTTTCTAGACAACAACCCAACACAGAAGTCGGATGATGGGATCAGCATTGAAATCTGGACCAGCTAATACTATGTGAATCGGACCAGTAATACATGTTAAAGCTATCCCGACTGGCTAGTTGAAAATATCAGATAATTTGTTCTGAATGACGGCATCTGTTTTCAAGCTTATCTTTTACACTAGGAGTGAGCTGCACATTAGAACAGTGTTTCCTCCAACCTGTATTGGAGGAATAAAGACTGACTGAATGACTGAGTCTGGTTTTACGTCGCTTTTAGCAATATTCTAGCAACATCACGGCGGGGGACACCAGAAATGGGCTTCACACATTGTACCAATGTGGGGATTCAAACCCGGGTCTTCGGTGTGAGGAGCGAACGCTTTAACCACTCGGCTACCCCACCGCCCCAAGGAATAGAGAAACAAATCGTAGTTGTTGCGACAATAACTTACATCTTCAATTACCAAACATCACACCAATTCTGACCGTTGTGCATTTTGATACTGATATTTTGAAGGGCCAGTGAAGTGTGATGTGGGTTAGTAATATTTTTACTTAACTAGCCCTCCTGGCCAGTGACTTTTAATAATTAATTCACACACTGGATGCGATGCCTCCTTAGTCATGTGGCTTTATTAGGGATGATCCTCTGTTCATAGTGAATGAGTACCTGGTAAGTTGAGATGTTAATGTGACTGTTAAAGTTCCAGTGTCTTACAAGCAGCGTGGGTTCCATATTCCCCGGAAAGCTGATCCATTGGGTGATCCATTATTGCTACGTAGCGCCTTAAGCAGGTATGCTAAATACGTTCATTAGCAGTAGTAGTAGGAGTTGTAGTGGTATATCACGCTCAATGTAGTGCTGGTAAATGCCGAAGGCAATGGGCGTCATGTTTCCTAACGAAAATTGTATACCTGGCCAATATATGTCAATGACATGAGATAAAGTGATGGGTAAGATATCCTCAATATTATCAAGCTTTCGAAAACGAATCGAAAATTGAATCTTTCAACACAATAATGTATTGAACCACAGTTTACGATAAAAGTCTTCCAACAATTTTAATATTCGATTGCTTACTTATTACTTTTTGAAATGTGTATTAAGCTGTAAATTCCGATCATCGTCCTCACATTTCCTAGTTGTTCAATACACAATGCATTCACATTAGGCTATACGAAAGATTGATTGATGCACCTACCCGTAAAGGAGAAGGTCCACGAGTCATCCTCCTCGTCATCTGTGAATGTGAAGGCTTTACCAATGTCTGTCCCCAAGGGTAACTCTTCTGGGATGGAGACTGAATGAATGGTAATAACTGGAGCGACGTCAATGACGTTGGTCAGCTTGATTATCATAGATGTTTTCTCCTGGTTTCTTCCATCGTCAGCCCTGGGGATAATCGAAATCGATATTTAAATGATAATACATTTCAACAAATTATTATTTCATTTTTAGATAAAGAACTTATGTGGATATGTTTTAAGCTGTTCTGTATTGCGCGGCTTTCTACTGGCGCCTTAAAATGGAAAAAATGGGATGTAACCCACCAGGGATAATATGGCGGATATTCTTTATATATTCATGTACGCTTCAAACAATATTTCGGTTTTAAAACATTTACGCAAAATGGCTGATGGTTTTAGTGTCATCCATTATGTTTCGGGATTTAAAAAGTACATAAGGAATAGAATGGAGGACACGGGGACAAAAGGAACATACAAATTTAGAATATATAGGATACAGGGACATAAAGGATGACGCGAAGAAAAGAAAAGGTGACGGAAGGTGACGTAAAAAAAAGCAATTCACCATTCAGTGAATTAAATTTTCTTCGATCATTACATCGTTGCTTCAATTGTTGGCTCCCTTGTTCGAATATTTTCTCGTTACTTCGATGATTTTCTCGTTGCTTTTTGTCAAAACCATAAAGATTTCAAGTTCTTGAAATAAATTCGAAGCAACGACAAAAATATCGAAAGTTCGAGATATGATTGAAATAACGTAACAAATTATTGCATTATCAAGAAAACAATCGAAGCAACGTGACACTTCGCTGATAAACAAAATTTATGCTACAAAAGTAGTAGCATTAGGATTTTCGTGGTGAAATGAAAAAGGTAATTGTGACTTTTTAGATATATATCCTACGTACGTATATAAATCTGCAGTAGACCCCAACTCACATTTAGCCCAGTTTAAATATTACAAAACATGGACTGACTCCAAAAATTCAGATGGTATACAAGAAATATCTTTCGACTTTGCGTATACAAGTACTGGAATGTGACTAAGTTTGGACTTTGAATATACTAGGGTGTTATCTCACGTACTGGAATGTGACCACATAGAAGTTTTCTGTTTCATAGTCCAAGGCCTGCATCGTGTACAGAATTCCAGAATAGATCTCAAACATGTTTATGTTGTCACCAGTAGATGTCACGCTCACTGTATCTCCTTCCGGATCTGTTGCTGCGGTGGTGTAGATGGGTGTGTACTGGGCGGTATCCTCAGATATCTCAAGGATCTCATATCCCCCAGGTGCTGGTAGGTTGAACAACGGAGGCTCATCTGTAAGGACCGGAATGCATCTTGTGTTCAGTGCCACGCCACAATAAACAACATATGGTCAGTAAACGTAAAATACACATAACATCATAAGGTGCTAAATGCCAATATTTAATGCCTAACTAATGAATCAGTGTCTATTCTAATCCAGTTATATATAACTTGTTGGATATAATGACCAAACGGTAGATATTGTATCAGAGAGGCAACGTCAGATATTGACCAATGTCAACGGGATGTCCGAGGAAATCCCAGTGTGATTGAAGTATCCGACGTTTACCACTTAGGGCAAAACCACTCCACCACGTTCCTTATGAAAATGCTATATTGACACATAATCAGGGAGAATCTGACATAGTGCATGACTTACCTGTCAGCCACCTCCAGAGTGGTGAGTGGACGGACAGAGAGATAAAAGTTACCTAAAAAAACAAGGACCATACCTGTCATCCACCTCCAGAGTGGTGAGTGGACGGACGGGGAGATAAAGGTTATCTAAAGAAACAAGGAACATACCTGTCAACCACCTCCAGAGTGGTGAGTGGACGGACGGAGAGATAAAAGTTACCTAAAGAAACAAGGAACATACCTGTCAACCACCTCCAGAGTGGTGAGTGGACGGACGGGGAGATAAAGGTTACCTAAAGAAACAAGGAACATACCTGTCAACCACCTCCAGAGTGGTGAGTGGACGGACGGAGAGATACAAGTTACCTAAAGAAACAAGGAATATACCTGTCAACCACCTCCAGAGTGGTGAGTGGGCGGACGGGGAGATTAAGGTTACCTAAAGAAACAAGGAATATACCTGTCAACCACCTCCAGAGTGGTGAGTGGACGGACGGAGAGATACAAGTTACCTCGAAAAAGAAACAAGGAATATACCTGTCAACCACCTCCAGAGTGGTGAGTGGACGGACGGAGGGATAAAGGCTACCTAAAGAAACAAGGAACATACCTGTCAACCACCTCCAGAGTGGTGAGTGGACGGGCGGAGAGATAGAGGTTACCTAAAGAAACAAGGAACATACTTGTCAACCACCTCCTCAGTGGTGAGTGGACAGACGGAGAGATAAAGGTTACCTAAAGAAACAAGGAACATACCTGTCAGCCACCTCCATTGCCCAGTCACATAACTTTGTGACGTCGCCAGCTGCACAATTTTGATGGGGAATGTTCTTCCAAGGTCATACGTCAGATAGGTGTCAACCCCTGGCTCCAGACCAAACCCCATACTATGGACATTCCCTTCCCAAGAAAACCAAAAGGGTTTCCAAGTACTGCAATCCAAAACAGTTCCAAACTCCCACGTGACGTAGGAACTTCCATCCAACATGGCAGTGTAGGAATAGCCATAGTAAATCTGGTAGAAAACAAAGTTGTTCTTGTCAGAGTCCTCATTGAGATAAACCTCCAGACTTTCACAAGCCTTCGCTTCTCCTCTGATGTACGACTTGTCGATGGGACCAAGACCTTTGTTGTATGCCTCCAAGTAGTCATAGTCCACGTCGATATATGTCCATTTACCTTTTATCAAAATAAGAATACAATTGTTGGAGATGCGTATTGCCCATAAATGTATTTGAGTTTAACATCACATGTATACACTGTGGCGTTTGCTTGGATTTAGCAATAGTGATTTCAATTATTTTTGTATATCACTTTAAGACACACCATTATATCAAATGTTATGGCATACGTTCAACATGTTGTCAATGATATTAAACGTTTTGTATGTCCTGGATTATGGTCGAATCTATTGTTCTTGGTCAAGTAGTACCGTGAGGACGGTATATATTCAGCATCTTCACGAGCATCACTCGGCAATTACCGTTAGCGGTTACTATATATAAACTGACGTACAAAATGAAAGAACACACCTGAATTGGAGGTATCCTTTAAAAAAAACACCAAAGTAAATATTTGGAAAAGTTAGTTTATTGTGACTTACAAGTCACAAACATTGAGTACATGTTGCCAAAATACCACAGATACCCTTTACAGTGTTGTGCGTGGAATAGACTGTATAAAACAGAGTGTTTCAGATTGTTAGTGATAAAAGCACATATCACAATGCCAAGATTACCAGGAACAGAGCGAGAAAGGACCATTGGAGTGTTGCAGATGGAGGCTTAACAAGCCATATTGGCAGAACGTTCGTATGCACAAGGCAGAGCACCATCAGTCTAATGAGACGCGTCACCCAGACTGGCCATTCGTAACTACTCGTGTCATTCCGGCAAGCCGGATGGCGACTCGTACCCCTCTCGAAGCCATGTTCACACGACTGGACCTTGTCTAAGCACACACGGGCGCGGAGATGAAAGTAGTCTAGCACAATTTCCAAGGAAAGATAACTCTGAATTTCCCAAACATGGCTACTCCAAGAAATATATAATGCAACACGAAAGTCACTTTAAGTAAGTTTCTTATGTCGTTAACAAATATCAGTAACAAGATAATTTCATAATCACAGAAATAATAATGAATATCAATAAATTCAAAGAAACTATTTGATTTATTTTACTACGCGCGATTTCATTGGTTTGCCACGATTCTTGGCAGCGATGGCGTACCATACAGGTACGAGTCTTCTTGTAGGGCACGTAAAGAGGCGAGTAGTTACGAATGCCAGACTGGCCAGACAGAGAGTGACCACTGCGCAACCAGATGCTCGCAGTGACGTCATGAACATTAACAGTGTTGGGTCATCGGAAAGATCACAATGATAGGGCGAATGCGTGCTGTCAGAATCCGCCATTTCGAGTTGTGTCACCAAATTGACCACATCACTGGCAGTGATGCAATTGGGTACGTTATCTGTGATGTGGCAAATCGTATACAACCTTTGTGACTTAAAAGGCAAAATCAAAGCACTTTTCGAAATATTGACGATGTTCTTTTGGAAAATATTCCCAAAGCATACGGTGTGTACTTCCTTTTTTACGTCAATTTACTTGAATTGATTCGGCAGTTCGAGACTTGTTGCTCTGTGGCATTGACAATTAACAATTAAGTCTGTTATAAAGATCTTACCACCAAATACAACGGGCAGAAGTATCAAGCTGGTAAGGAAGATATTGAAGCTCATTTCAGGTTGTTTTGCTGACAGTCTCTGCAATAGCATAACGTTCAAAGTTAATCTAACAATTGAAAGCTAACTCCAGATGGACTTACCAGTTTGATGTCTTGAAATACGCATTCTTACCTTTTTACACATTTCTTCAATAGCCTGCTGGCACAAGACTCATTTCGTCCAATTTCACACTATCGTAAATGACGATAATATGTATATAACAAGGCTGGTATATACATTTCAATGGATTCTTTAGGTGAATAAAAATGCTACAATGTTACCACAAGTTATTACAATCACAACCAAAACGAGTTCTCCATTCTCCAGTTATTCTACTTTCATTGGGATCAGTATACTTGCCCATTTATGAGTTCATTTCGGATTCTAAATATGCATCTAAATTGGCATGAATAGTCGCCAAATCACATCATACCAGTAGCTAGAGAAATTTACTGATTGCAGTGACTGGGTGACTGCGAGTGGGTCCAGGATAATGAATTATGGTGCGTAGCGAAATATACTACTTCTATAGTTGATGAACTAATAGACGATGAACCACTGACAGTAGTAGTGTATGGAGATTTAACATGGGAGTTACTACCTCGCCAAGTCAAGCGGAACGAACTAACCCAGTGACGTCACACCACGCGCGTCAGAAACATCGAGAGGGCTATTGACACCAGCGACAAAGAGAGGGAAGATATATTGCTTAATAAAGAGTACACGCGACATAATAGCGTCTGAGTAGTATCTATAAGCAGCGCTTGCAGCAAACAAAAGAGACAACACGACCTACTAATCATGTATTCACATTTCTACCGCATAAAAGGTTATATTGCGCGGAGTTACACAAAACCTATAAATATATGTACATATCGGGGTGGAGACGTTTTAGTCACAAGCGATACCACCATCGATCCTCCGTTGTTGTCATTACACAAATGTCTGAATATTCGTGGAGCGTGGTATGTTTACCACCGCCTAGACATACACAACGTTACGGCGAAGAAGTTGTAATTATAACATCGACAACCAAATTCCCAACCAGATCGGCTTGCGTAGAAGATGTTCGGCTCACATTAAACAAAACAAATATCGACACCCCGGATTCGTGGGGACAGCCCATCATTTTTATTAGCGAAAGGACACCATATGTTCTACCCATGTCCGAGACGAAATCATGATACAGTACATCGATGAGATCGAGTCGGTCCTTATTACGCAAACACTGAATCGTCTTCTGACGCTGGCATACTTCGTCGTTATTTCCCAAGACATGAAATCAACTAATCGCGAGACATTCCAACAAGCGCTAGCCTCGGTAAACGAAGAATCTGTCATTGCGAAGTGGAGAGTGTTCATAAGAGCCATACCCAGGCTGCGAGCCATATCCTCGCTGTATTATCTAATATATCAATGCAGGGACTACCGTGATACGTGTTTTAAAACAGACCAGTGGCAAGAAGAGCTACATCATCATGTGCTGACAGCGAACAGGAATGCTCAAGAGGTAGAAGAGAGAAAAACATGGAACAGACATTAGCCCGTAATTATTACGACCCGAGAGAACCAGGTGCGTTTGGAGGATTTCAAAAGTTTGTACAGTATCTGAAAAGAAACGAACCTGACATCGAACCGACGCCAGTGAGAAAGTGACTTAACGAGCAAGACGCGTATAGCCTACACAAAGCACCACGCAGAAAATTCAAGAGAAATTGGGTTATAGTCAGTGGAGTTAAAGTACAAGCAGACAAGTACATCGCCGACAGCAACAACGGTATAAGATACCTGCTTATTATTAGAGACTGCTTCGTGGGACTTTTCGGTATTAACTATAATAGCCGTTGGTGGCGTGGGTTTCGCTCTCATACGGTCCACCAAGTGTTTTGTTAAATGATTCAGGGCGAACACTCCCAGGACGTGAAGTATAGGGTCGCAGTGTATGACGCATTCCAGTTGGCGAGTGTTCATAACTTCGTACACTAACTCTTTTTTTCTTCTTCTTACGTGATTACGTTTCTACTTTTCTCTTTTTGGAAAATGTCGTTGAATTCCCCGTAAACGATGCACGACACTGTCTCGGGAAGTTACGTTGCAAACTGCGCTTCGAGTCTAAGAGTTCCCTGTTTTTGAAGATGCAGGTATGTTCCGTCGTTGTTTGACCAAACACGGGATCCAATGAGAAGACGTACAGCGCGTAACTGTAATGGAAATCGTCCCGCAAAAAGTCCACGCAGTTGAGACTTTCGATGTTGTCATCCATCAGCCAACATCCGGTCGAGCGGAACAGATTGACGTACGCCGGGATGATGGTTTGTCCGTCGGTGCTTTCTCCGAAGCGTAGTTTCATAGGTCCAGATTCTCCGACGGTGGTGCCATCGCAGAACAGCGCTATTTGGCGAAGTTGGCGAAGTTATAAGGATTCTTGTGAAAGTCGCCCATACCCACTGCCTTGGCGGATACGAACCCAGCTACATTCTTGTTGGGACGAGAACCTTGGAATATGTTGTCCCACGCGAAGCTGGTTTGTCCTTTGACGATGGAGAACATCTTCACTTCCGTTCTGCGATACGAGTATTTGGCCGGCGTCTTCGACAGCACCTCGTTATGACCCCATATGACGCCCGGATTCACGCAAACTTTCATGACCTTCAAGACGATGTCTTCTATGTGCACGATGTACGCGGTGTCCGTTTTGGTCGCCATTAGCAGGAAATGGGGGCTGGATCGGTACAGTTTCACTTGCACGTCGACTTGGTTCCGTATGTACCGCTTCATTTGAAACAGGTCGTGCATCAGCGGGCACTCGGGGTCGACCGTTTTACTCTCCGAGGTGAACTCGTACCTACTGAACATACCCGTGTTGGTCCCGTTCGGATTGGTTATGTCTAATTCCCCGGCCGTATCATTGAAAAACAGTTGCGCCTGCATCTTCGTCTTGTTGTCGATGGAATTGGTGTTCGAAAGTGTTTGAATCATGGCCTTCTACTGATAGTGGTTGCTCGTCGAGTTGACGAGGCGCCCTTGCAGCCATACGTCTACTTGCGAAAACAGGGAATGCAGAAACATGTTAATAGGGGCGCACGCTTCGTTGCTAGCCAGATGTGAGTTGTCCGCGTGAGTTATCTTACATTTAACGTACGTTTTGACCGCTGATATGAAATTCGATAGGTGCGGATCTGGATAGAGGCGGCACCGGACGGCAGTCTTGAAGATAGGTCTTTTCTACGGCTGTTTGCGTCGGCGGCAGATCAAATAACGATAGTTCCGGTGGTTGCGTTTCTGTCAAACACTTGGGATGCACATGCAAATGTAGTTGGAATCACGTTATACACATGCTAATGTAGTTGGAATCATGTTATACACATGCTAATGTAGTTGGAATCATGTTATACACATGCTAATGTAGTTGGAATCATGTTATAAACATTCTAATGTAGTTGGAATCATGTTATACACATGCTAATGTAGTTGGAATCATGCTAATGTAGTTGGAATCATGTTATACACATGCTAATGTAGTTGGAATCATGTTATACACATTCTAATGTAGTTCCACACAAATATAGTTGGAATCATGTTATACACATGCTAATGTAGTTGGAATCATGTTACACACATGCATGTTGGAATCATGTTATACACATGCTAATGTAGTTGGAATCATGTTATACACATGCTAATGTAGTTGGAATCATGTTATACACATGAATCTAATGTATGGAATCATGTTATACAATGCTAATGTAGTTGGAATCATGTTATACACATGCTAATGTAGTTGGAATCATGTTACATGTTACACATGCTAATGTAGTTGGAATCATGTTATACACTAATGTAGTTGAATCTAATGTAGTTGGAATCATGTTATGCACAGTTGCTAATGTAGTTGGAATCATGTTATACACATGCTAATATAGTTGGAATCATGTTATACACATGCTAATGTAGTTGGAATCATGTTATACACATGCTAATGTAGTTGGAATCATGTTATACACATGCTAATGTAGTTGGAATCATGTTATACACATGCTAATGTAGTTGGAATCATGTTATACACATGCTAATGTAGTTGGAATCATGTTATACACATGCTAATGTAGTTGGAATCATGTTACACACATGCTAATATAGTTGGAATCATGTTATACACATGCTAATATAGTTGGAATCATGTTATACACATGCTAATATAGTTGGAATCATGTTATACACATGCTAATGTAGTTGGAATCATGTTATACACATGCTAATGTAGTTGGAATCATGTTATACACATGTTATACACATGCTAGTAGTTGGAATCATGTTATACACATGCTAATGTAGTTGGAATCATGTTATACACATGCTAATGTAGTTGGAATCATGTTATACACATGCTAATGTAGTTGGAATCATGTTATACACATGCTAATGTAGTTGGAATCATGTTATACACATGCTAAGTTGTAGTTGGAATCATGCTAATTAGTTATCATGTTATACACATGCTAATGTAGTTGGAATCATGTTACACACATGCTAATGTAGTTGGAATCATGTTACACACATGCTAATGTAGTTGGAATCATGTTATACACATGCTAATGTAGTTGGAATCATGTTATACACATGCTAATGTAGTTGGAATCATGTAGTTTCATGTTACACATGCTAATGTAGTTGGAATCATGTTATACACATGCTAATGTAGTTGGAATCATGTTATACACATGCTAATGTAGTTGGAATCATGTTATACACATGCTAATGTAGTTGGAATCATGTTATACACATGCTAATGTAGTTGGAATCATGTTATACACATGCTAATATAGTTGGAATCATGTTTATACACATGCTAATGTTATGCACATGCTTGGTTGGAATCATGTTATACACATGCTAATGTAGTTGGAATCATGTTATACACATGCTAATGTAGTTGGAATCATGTTATACACATGCTAATGTAGTTGGAATCATGTTATACACATGCTAATGTAGTTGGAATCATGTTATACACATGCTAATGTAGTTGGAATCATGTTATACACATGCTAATATAGTTGGAATCATGTTATACACATGCTAATGTAGTTGGAATCATGTTATACACATGCTAATGTAGTTGGAATCATGTTATACACATGCTAATGTAGTTGGAATCATGTTATACACATGCTAATGTAGTTGGAAACATGTTATACACATGCTAATGTAGTTGGAATCATGTTCATGCATGTTCATACACATTCTAATAAGTTGAAATCGTTGCCATACTGCTTTCTTGTGCAGCTGGATGTAGTTTGAACCATGTCTATACATTATAATTTGAATGCGCTAACATGAATACACATGCTAATACAGTTGGAATCATGTTACACACATGGTAATCTAGTTGGAATCATGTTATACACATTCTAATATAGTTGAAATCGTACTGCTTTCTTGTGATGCTGTAATTATAATTTTCTCGCTTTTATCTAAATGTAACAATTATCTAATAAACATTTTTTGACAATGTGATGAAATATAAGACGAAACGAAACCCAACAACAAAAAGAGCAAAAAAGTGGCAAAACTAACCAAAAGGCGACAATGAGACATACTAACAAGTAACAAGGTCGCGTTGTCGCATTGTCGTCCCATCTAAGATGTGTAAAAAAGCCTTAAAGGAGAATACGAACGAAAACAAAACTTTTGATATATTGTTAAGGATATTCTAAAAGTCGCATTCCGTGATTAAAATTGAACAAAAGGTTTGTAAAATAGCAATAAAAACACTAAAACGTACTCGTATTTCCGCCTATTACGGAAACACCCGACAGTTAATGAGCAGAGGGGTTATCACGTGACATGACGTCAGAAGTGCCTGTTGCTGATGGCTTTCTCTTTGATTTTACCTCACAACTTAACAGTGTCCGTGGATTCTAAATCAGGAAAAGATGTTGCTGATGTCATTTCTGAAATGGATGTTAGACCGTATCAATACGATCAGATGTAGATGTACATCTTGCAAAACAATCTTCCACTGAAGATGGATAAGAAGAATCAAGCGAAACGGAGGCACCGCTTGGGGTCAAAATAAAAATAGACCATATCATTTAACAAGATTACTATTTGTCAGCAAACTTTCATACAGTTCCAACCAGCAAACTCACCCGTATAAATATATGACCAGTCATTAAGAATTATTTTTTTAAAAATGTGATTACAGTTCATTTTGTGTCCAATGGGTGACTGTAGGGTGTCTGGAATTTAAAAACAAAATAATTATGCTTCAGACGAGGGAAAATAAAAATTATCTGCTTCAAAAATTACACTGGAATTATTTTGTTGAAAAAAATTAGGATCCTAGTTATAAAATCTCGATACAAGATCCCAGCCTGGTTGAGCAGAGATAATATTCGCGACGCAGATAAGTTATTCACCGAAAACTGGTGAATTATAAAATACTAGTCAGGACAACGTATGTTTCCCCATTGTTTGGTTATGGAAATAGTTATGGTACTCGGTCATAGCCTTAGAATGACATCTTGTCAGCAACTTTCACGGCACACACTACTGATAAATAGCGAGTCTGATGCCGACGTGCGTAATTGGACAAAATGGAAAATAATGAAAGCAACAAGTACTTCATGATTTGCCGTTATATTCGGCAATGTTTCGGGTAGTCTGCAGCATTTAGAGCTCCAAACCGAAAAGAACATCATAGCGAAACATTTTCAAGCTCATGTGAAATCACTTACTGATTTTGATAATATATATCTCATGTGTACCAGTCGAACTGCCCCAGCTGCAAAATGCCCCAGCAAATTTGGTCATTCATTCTAATTTGTTCAAATTTATTTATAATGATTGAATATATGCCGTAAATGCATAGTTTTTGTTGACTTATTATGATATTATGTTCTTCATATAAAAGTTTTTAGGAAGTAATATTTCTGATAAATGTTTCATTAGTAAACTCATAACTATGTATATACTTATATATGAAGAACATAATATCAAAGTTGACAAAACTATGCATTTATGGCCTATATTTATTCATTTTAAATAAATTGGGGCATTTTGACTACCCGACTGGGGCAATTTGACCAAATTTGCTGGGTCATTTTGTAGCGGGAGCAATTCGACTGACAACCGGACTTGATTTAATTTATGTTAAAAATACCACTGACAGTAAGTTGTTACAGGGAATGATAGAGTATAAATGAATCTCGTGGATACTTTTTCCTTCTTCAGCCTAGCTTGGGGATTCCCATACCCCATGCGTGCATGCAGGGATAATCTACAATCTATAGTCTCCCTGGTGCATGTCTCTTTCATATGCGTCCGACTCGGAATGATCGGCGCATT